ACAATAGCCAGGCTATGGAAACAACCCAAGTGCCCATCAATAGATGAGTGATAAAAAGGCAGTTGTACATATATACAATGGAATATTACTCAATTGTAAAAAAAAGAAAAAGAAAAAGAATGACATCTTACCATTTGCAAAAGCATGGATGGACCTAGGGGGTAGTATGCTAAGTAAAGTCAGTCAGTCAGAGAAAGACAAATATATTATTTCACTTATATGTGGACTCTAATGAACAGTATAAACAAACAAAACAGGAACAGACCCTTGGATACAGAGAGCAGACCAACGGGAACAGTATAAACAAAACAGAAACAGACTCTTTGATAGAGAGAACAGACTATGGTTGAGAGATGGAGGGTTAGAGAATGGTGAAAAAGTTGAAGGGATTGAGAAGTACAGACTTGCAGTTACAAAACAGTCATAGGGATGTAAAGTCCAGCAAAGGAAATATGTGGTAACTGTACAGTGCCTGCTGGGTGCTGGAAATATCAGGAGGAACACTTTGTAAAGTATATGATTGTCTAACCACTATAGTGTACAGCTGAAAATAATACAAAAAAAAATACTGAATGTAAACTGTAATTGGAAAAAAATTAACAAAAAAAATAAACAAACATTAAAAACTTTAAAAAATCAACAAAGCAACAAGTGTTGGCAACCATGTGGAGAATAGAGAACCCTCATGCACTGTTGGTAGGAATGCAGTTTTGTCCAGCCATGATGAAAAAGTGTATGGAGGGTCCTCAAGAAGTTCAAACCAGAACTGCCTTATGACCCAGCACTTCCACTTCTGGGTATATATCCGAAAAAACCCAAAACACTAATTCAGAAGAATACATGCACCCTCTATGTTCATTACAGCGTTATTTACAAGAGCAAAGCTATGGAAACAACCCAAGTGCCCATCAATAAATAGACAATGGAATCTATATAATAGAATGTTACTCAACCATTAAAAAAAGAAATCTTAAAATTTGGAAGAGCATGGATGGACCTAGAGAGTATTATGCTAAATGAAATGTCAGAGAAAGACAATTACCATATGATTTCACTTACATGTGGAATCTAAAGAGCAAAATAAACAAACAAATAAAACAGATCCAGAGGTACAGAGAACAGATTGCTACGAGGGAGGAGAGAGTAGGAGGGGTTTCGTGAGAAAGGAGAAGGGGTTAAAAAATTCAAATTGATAGTCACAACATAGTCCCAAAGATGTAAAGTACAGCATAAGGAATATGGTCAATAGTATTGTTAATAACTATGTAGGTGCCAAGTGGGTACTTGAAATATCAGGGAGAGGGGAGCTTTGTTAAGTATATGACTATCAGCCCTGGCTGGTGTGGCTCAGTGGATTGAGTGTCAGCCTGTGAACCCAAAGGTTGCCAGTTTGATTCCCAGTCAGGGCACAAGCCTGGGTTGCACGCCAGGTCCCCAGTAGGGAGCGCATGAGAGGCAACTTATCGATCTCTCTCTCACACACTGATGTTTTTCTCCCTCCCTTCCCCTCTCTCTGAAAGTAAATAAATAAAATCTTTCTTAAAAAAGTATGTAACTATCAACCCATTATGCTTATACCTGAAACTAATACAAAATAATATTAAATATAACCTATAATTAAAAAATAAAATTATTAAAAAAGAAATTAAAGATCTAAGTAAATGGAAAGACAGCAAACATTCCTAGACTGAAAGACTTATGTTAAGATGGGAATTCTTCTTGAAGTGATCTATAGATTAATACAATCCCTATAAAATCCCAACTGGCTTCTTTGTACAAATTGAAAACCTCATCCTAAAATTTAAATGGAAATTTAAAAATCTTAAATAGCCAAAAAGAATTTGTAAAAAACCAAACTAGTCACATTCATATTTCCCAATTTCAAAACTTACCCCAGAGCTATAGTAATGAAGACAAATGTACAGATGATATATTGCACAATTGTATACCAGAAACCTATATAATTTTATTAATAAAGGTCACCCCAATAAATTCAATTAAAAAGAGAAAAAAACAGAAAAGAGGAGTCTTACTAGCATAAGGATAAACATACAAATCAGTAGAACAGAATTGAGAGTCCAGAAACGAACCCCTCACATTTTTGATCCATTTATTTTCGACAGGGCTGCCAAGATCTTTCAATGGAGAAAGAATAGTCTCTTCAATAAATGGTGCTGGGAAAAATGAATAGTCACATGTAAAAGGAAGAAGCTGGACTCCTACCTCATACCATATACAATGATGCATTCAAAGTGGATCAAAGACCTCAACCTAAAAACTAAAAGTATAAAACTATTAGAAACAATGTAACAATGTAACATTGTAAATCTCCATGACCTTGGGTTTGGAAATGATTTCTCAGGCACAATACAAAAGCACAAACAAAAGGGAAAAAAAGATAAAGTAGACTTCATAAAAATTAAAATTTTGCAAGATGGTGGCATAGGTAAACCCAGCTTGCCTCCTCACGACCACATCCAAATTAAAACTAAATTATAGAAAAACCAATACTCAGAACTGTCAGTAAGTGAGCTGAATGGAAGTCTCACAACTACAGAATTAAAGAAACCACATCCATCCAGACTGGTAGGAGGGAAAGAGATGAGGAACAGGCTGGTTTCCACATCCACATGTGGTCCACAGATAAATTCAGAGGATAAAAACCTTAAAAGGAATTACATGAAGAATTTTTTTAACGTATACATATTTTTAATTTTATTTATTTTCTTAGAGGAGAAAGAGAGGGAGAGAAACATCAATGTGTGAGAGAAACATCCATGGGATGCCTCTCACCCCCAACTAGGGACCTGGCCCACAACCCAGGCATGTGTCCTGGCCAGAAATCAAACGGGCAACCCTTCAATTTACAGATGGGCACTCAATCCACTCAGCCACACCAGCAAGGGCAAAGAATGCTCTTAATAGTCTCAAGTTATATATTCACAATTTAAAATGCTGGAGACATTCTTTTTAAATACTTTTTTTTACAATCGTACTATATCCTGAACTAACTTGAAAAGATTATTTTATTTACATGCCACGTGACATGGATTATTCTTTAGACTTTGATGGTTACAAGACCATAATTGTTTATCAAACTTAATCTCTTTGAAATCCTTCCTCAAAAGTTAAAATGCCGCTCTTAGCTAAAACAGGACTCCTTGCTAATCACAAATATGCAAATTTTGAAATGCATTTGTAAGTAATCACAAGTATATATGGCCATAATTATTTGAGAAGCATTTCCCATACCTGTGAATTTTTTCTCACTGTACTAAGTTCGGATAATTTGAACTCAATTTTCAGAGCTTAATTTAATTCTTTAAAGCACTTGGTAAAATTCCTGTTGTGGCCTTAAAAATCAGCACTAAAGAAACATCAGCCCTGGCAAAGCAGCTCAGTTGGTTGGAGCACCCACCTGATATGCAAATATTGAAGGTTCAATCCCCAATCAGAGCAAATACAGGAATCAGCCAATGAATGAATAAATATGTGGAAAAACAAACTGATGTTTGTTTCTCTCTCTCTCTCCCCCCTCCTTACCACCCCCCAAAAAAAATTAAAAAATAAAAGGGCTTTGCCACCTTTAAAGAAAAAAAAACGTCAATAGTTCCTGCATAGATTAATACATTATCAATGCCTCCCTTAAAAATGCAAATTCCATGCTTTATAAAACACCAACAAATATTTAACACCATTATGATGGTAATTTTGGATCAGTATTGGAGGGACTTGAAAAAAATAAAAAGCCCTTGCCCCTTGTGATAACTGAGAAAGCCAGTGAAAGCCTAAGGGAAACAAATTAGTTAATGACCACTATTCAGTAGTTGCTGCAAGAGTTTGTTACAAAAGCAGTACTCTAATTCACATACATAAGTTCTTTATTATTTCTGACTTTCTATCTCACCTTTCTTCCCTGTCACCTTTGCCAAAGGAAAAAACTGAAGTCTGGCAAATATAATTTTAAATAACCCAGCGAAATTTTTGGTAGTCGCTGCTACATGTTTTCCTAAGAATCAATCATTATTTATTAAAAATTGTAATGGTACATTACAATTGTACCATTACAATTTTTAATTAAAAATTGACAGTACCATTACAGTTAAAGCATACTACAAATATTAAAGAAATGTAATTTTTTAAATAAAAATGACAATTTCTACTAACCAGTACTAGATACACTCAGCTGTTACTTTTAGTTTATGAAACCTGCTGCCATGAGGAAGAAAGTGCCAACCAGTTATTCCTATCATTGACCTTATTTTCAATAGTTTATTATTCGCAAATAATTACGGGTCAAAGTTAAATAAAGTGATACAGGGTTAACTAAAAGTATCATGAAATCTTTTCCTTATACACCAGTAACTTTCAAAAATTCTTAGCTATGGAAAACAAAACTTTAGAACTTCAAAATTAAGAAGCAGTGATTGGGAATAGAACTACAACTTGTCTTCTATGAACTTCTAATTTTCTAATTATCTTTCTAATTTAAAACCAAGTACCTCTTTTCTAATTAAAAAAAAAAACCAGAAAAGCATTATTCTCTTTATTCAAGAACTACCTGAACTATATTTATTAAAATTATGAGTTAAAACCAAAAGTTACCAAATGGCATTTTACTGTTGCACTAACTCAATTATCCATGCTCTCTAATTTTAAAAGCATGCATAACAAATTAGAAAGTCTACAATCATACTATAAAATAAATGATTAATAACAAACTTCTGGTGACAATATGTCAAATTTATAGGAAAGTATAGCCATTAAAAAATAACAATCTTTAATGATCTTAGTGCTTTTATAAAGCCTTTACTTTGTAAATTTCAGATTGACATTCCCTTTGATAGTACTTACACTACATGCATATAATTTCAGTTCAAGTGAATAACATTATTAGAACAGCAAAATGATTAAATCATAGCATATTATTCACATGGAAATCTTTCTAAAGTAATTTAGTAAAAAGACTATAGCAAAACTGAATGAAGACCAAATTTTACCTTTTCTGTATTGTAATATAAAGATTTCAAAGTAGTAAACAAGGGTGGGCAGCCTTTACTGAAGTTAACCCTCAGGAACTTATCCATTAGTTCTCTAAATTTTTCACCTAGGAACAAAAGTGTACTTTGTTATACTTCGATTAATGCAAACAGTTCTCAAAATGATTTCATAAATAAAAATCAGTTCAGCAACAATTTTTAAATCCAAACAGCATGATTTCTTGCTTGTTACCACCAAAAAGCCTAAAACCAAATATCTCAGACGGCGGCTATAGTTTTCCTTAGATCTAGGTTCAAAGTTACTTCAAGGAACACTTCCAAAGATAGATAAACAAAACAATTGAGCAGCTTTAAGTAAACCTACTCTATCCATTCTAAATATAGTCCCCATAGCACATATCTTTCCCAATCTCTATGTCCAGCACAGACTAAGTCCTGCTATCAGCAGACAACTCATAAAGCACTCTGAAGACTTTAAAATGATTCTACTGTAACCAGCACTATATTCAAGTAGCAGCCAAAATACATTTTTAAAACTTAAGCAGTATTTACAAATGTTTTCCAAAGCAACTACAGATTTCTTCGACATTCATTCATTCCACAAACATCTAAAATGCACCTACTGCCCTGGCTGGTGTGGCTCAGTGGACTGAGTGCCCATCTGTAAATCAAAAGGTTGCCAGTTCTATTCTCCAGGTCAGGGCACATGCCTGGGTTGCAGGCCACGTACCAAGTTAAGGGTGTGTGAGAGGCAACCAATCGATGTTTTTCTCCCTCTTTCTCCCTCCCTTCCACTCTCTGTAAAAATAAATAAATAAATAAAATCCTTTAAAACAAAAAACACCTACTATGTGCCAGGCACTGTTCCCAGTATTAGGGATATAGCAGTGATTAAAATTAAAAAGCAGTGAAATTCACATTTCAGGGGTGAGAAAAACAGTAAGTAAAAGAACATATGTTAGACATTAGATTGAGCCTGGGGGCATTCTAACATTAGAATTAAAATATTGCATTTGCAACATCAGGTAAATAATTCTATTATTGCTAAAACCTTACCAAAAGACTTTGGTATTGTATTCCTTTTAGAAAGTGGGAAAAAATTGAAAAAGTTTTAATATTAAATACAAAGGCTCTAATTCAGATACATGAATGTTTTCACAGTAAGGGTTAATAATATATAAAGACATGGATTTGTCCACTCATTTTAAAAAAGATACATGTATGTCATAAATGGTTTAACCTAAAGAAAGATTAAGGAAATGAACTCTTAAGGTTTCTTTATGAATTACAATTACTTTATAAAAAAAACTCCAAGTGGCTATTTCTATTTGTTCTGACCAATCGTGCAGAACAAAATATGTATACTCAATATAATTAGATGTAATAAATGTAAAAGAAATTTAAATTTTGAGTGGAAAATTTATTAAATATCAAAGGATACATTTGTTAACTCACTTTACTATACAGACTTTTCAGATTATCATTAATCTTTTATTAGACCATACACAAAGTATGGGTCTTGTGAAAATCACAGGTTACCAAGACAACACAAAATTTCTCTTTGGTAGCCCTGGCTGGGTCTCAGTTGGTTAGAACATCATCCCAATACTGTCAAGGTTGAAGGTATAATCCCTGGTCAGGGCACATAAAAGGATCAACCAAAACAAGCAAGTGGAACAACAAACGGTTGCTTCTCTCTCCCTGCTCCGAAAATCAATAAATAAAAAAAATTTTAAACAAATCTACTTGGGTTAAATATACGTCATTACCTCCTTTAAAAATCAAAAGTAATTTCAGAGATCAAATCTTTCCAGCACTTCCTCTAATATAAAGCATTAGAGGAAGTAAGCAATAGTGTAGTAGACAGTAAGAGATGATGTTGCTTACAGGAATGCATAAACCTCCACTTATTGTGTATGGCCTTGTGCAAGTAACTGTCCACTAAAAACCTCACTTTCTCCACTGTAAGATGAGGCTGTTACCCTCCACTGTAAGATGAGTGGTGTAACACCACCACTAGTCTCAAGATACACTTGTATGGCTCAAGCAAGTTAAGTATATAGCAACAGCAGTGTGTATGTCACAGAGTAATCGCTCAATAATGTCTATCATTATGCCTTGATATCTGATAGCTACTGGATTTCTATGTTTAAGAATCTTCCATATTTGCTACCATCCATTAAAAAAAACAAGCATTTTACCTTCATATCAGAGGCTACTCTAAACTCTACTTCTTTGTCAGATTTCTCAGTCTATGCAGATCACACGGGCAGATTTGATTTAAAATACTATAATACACTCACCTCCCAATTACCCACAATATTGAAAGCCTCTTTTTCCCATTAAACTGTTATTTACCTGTGCAGCTATGAGAAGAAGAAAAAAAAAAAAAACCAAGGAAGCTCTTATGTGCTCAAATAGGACTAAACTCCAGATACAGAGTTAAATGGGGAAGAGGGAAAACAGAGCAATCTAAGTATGCTACCACTTTTGTACAAAAGGGGAGGGGGAAAAGTATAAATAAACTTGCCACACATATTTTTGTTTGTATACTCACAATGTATTTCTGGAACTACACATCATCCACTGGTAACAATGGCTGTCTCTAGGGAAGTAAACTTGATGGCCAGGAAACAGATAGAAAAAAAGACCTTTCACTTAAAAATCTGTAGCCCCGGCTGGTGTGGCTCAGGAGATTGAGTGCCGGCCTGCGAACCAAAGGGTTGCCAGTCTGATTCCCAATCAGGGCAAATGCCTGGGTTGTAGGCCAGGTCCCCAGTAGAGGGCATGTGAGAGGCAACCACACACTGGTGTTTCCCCCGCCCTCCCTTCCCCTATCTCTAAAAATAAACAAAATTTTTTAAAAAGTCTTTTGTACTCCTTTAAACTGTATGAATGTATTATCTAAACAAGAAGCCTACTACAGCTACTCAACTACTCAGTCACATACTATATCCAAAAATTACTATTTATCCTTCTTACAATTTTCTGCTTTAGGTATAAGAAAAATCCCTACAAAAAAACATAATCTTCTTTCTTCCTAGTTATTTTAACATAACGTTTTAGTAACCCTATTGTCTTTCCTTTGGTGGGCGGGGTCAGAATGCCCATCAATCATTATGTGCCTATTTAGTATTACAGCTCACAAATAGGTTATCTGACTACATAGATGCTACACTAATTCTCTCTAGATGTGCAGCACAGATTCCCATAAAAATCGATGTCCTCAAAACCACTGCTAAAATAATTTAACATAAACATTAAGAGGAGACTGTATCTGATTCACTGAAAATTTATTCTAAATTATGGAGCATGCCCTCACCTCAAAACAGAAATGATAGTTACAGGACCAGATGGAGGTGTTAGCTAACATTACAGTGGTAATATTGCAATATACAAATATATCAAATCAACAATTCTACACCTTAAACCTCCACACTTATGTATCAATTATATCTCAAAATAAATAAATGAAACAATAATAAATAATAGAGCAAAATTTGATTAGCGCTCTATGTTTAATACTCTCCATTATTGTCTTCCCTTTCTCTATACCTTGGCCAGTGAAGACTAATAGAACATAATGATTAATTATTTTGAAAAATGGCTATATCCCTGCATTCTTTTCACAGCACTTGAAATTTTAGGTTATTAGAAGAGTGCCCCAGGAATTCTATTCTATTCACTACACTGTTCATATTAAACCTTTATATTTAAAAACTGGAAAGTCTTTTTTCAAAAATTTCATCTTGCATTCTTGAATCCTATGATTTTTTTGGGAAAGCTCTTATTTGCTTTTGACAATGGTGAGATGTCTTTCTTATTACACATACATTTCTTTCTAGAGGCAAAAAATCTTCATGAAGTATTCAGCTTTTCTACAGGTACGATGTGAACAATTTCGTATATGTTCACCAGAACTTTTCAAATACATATATGTTATAACATTCCAGTGATTACCTTTAAAGCCCATGAAATCAGGCCCCTCAACTGAGACCTATCTTGTAAAAAGATTCCAGAGGATACAGGATGATTCCACCTTAACCTAAGCACTTCACAATCAACACCTGGTTCCTGGCTATCTTTCAATAAAAATATAATTCCTATCATGTACTGACAGCTTTTAGCAAACACCATTGACTATGAAAATAAATCTAGACAGCGTAAATTTCAAGTCCCATATTCCATAAAGGAACAATAGTACTAAAAACTCATTTGTAATCTTAAAACTATGTAAGTTTTCTTTAATTTCCTAGGAGGCACCCAAATACATTTGAAAGTTTCAAACTAAAAGGATATACGCAAGTCACACTGTGAAACATAAAACGCCCCTTAAAACGCATTTAAAAGAAGAAAACAAAAGCCACACAAAAAGTCAAATATGGTCGGGGTGAAAGTGAAATGTCCAAAACAGGCAAATTACCTAAGTAAAGAAAATAGATTAGTGGGTTGCCTGGTGCTGAAGGAGCATGGCGGTGGGGGGCGGGGGGTGGAAGATAGAGGTTGGGGGTGGGAGGGGGGACTGTTAATGGATACAGGTTTCTTCCTGGAATGAAGGAAAAAAGAATTTTAATTGTATTTTATTATTTATGCTATTACAATTGTCTCAATTCTTCCCCCTTTGCTCCCCTCCACCCAGCACTACCACTCCCTCAGGCAGTCCTGCCACCACTGCTCATGTCCATGGGTCACGTGTGTAAGTTCTTTGGCTACTCCATTTCCCACATTGTACTTTACATCCCCATGGCTATTCTGTAACTATTTGTCCTTCTTAACCCCCTCACCATTTCACGCATTCTTCCTCTGCCCCCACATCGGTAACCATCAAAACTCTCTCCAGATCCATGATTGTCTCTGTTCTTCTTGTTCGCTTAGTTTGTTTTTTAGGATTCAGTTGTTTACAGATGCGTGTTTATTGCCATTTTATTGTTTCTAGTTGTGATCTTCTTTTTCTTAAAGAAGTCCGTTATTTAACATATCATATAATAATGGTTTGGTGATGATGAACTCCTTTAGTTTTTTTCCTTGCCGAGAAGCTCTTTTTTCTGCCCTTTGATTCTAAATGTTATCTTGGCTGGGTAAAGCAGTCTTGGCTGTAGGTCCCTGCTTTTCATGACTTTGAATATGTCTTACCAATCCCTTCTAGCCTTCAAAGTTTCTTTTGAGAAATCAGCTGACAGTCTTATGGGAACGCCCCTGTAGGTAACTAACTGCTTTTCTCTTGCTGCTCTTAAGATTCTCTATCTTTAACCTTTGGGCATTTTAATTATGATGTGTCTTGGAGTGGGCCTCTTTGCATCCATCTTGGTTGGGACTCTCTGTGCTTCCTAGAATTGCATGTCTATTTCCTTCACCAGATTAGGAAGGGTTTCTTTCGTTACTTTTTTGAAATAGATTTCCAATTTCTTGCTCTTTCTCTTCTTCTGGCAACCAGTGATGCAAATGTTGGACCTCTTGAAGTTGTCCCAGAGGCTGCTTACATTATCCTCAATTTTTTGGATTCTTTTTTCTTCTTGTCGTTCTGATTGGTAGTTTTATTCTTCCTTATGTTCCAAATCACTGATTTGATTCTTGGCTTCATGCACTCTACTGTCGTTTCCCTGTAAGTTGTTCTTTGTTTCAATAGTGTGTCCTTTGTTTCTGGCTGGACCTGTTTTGCTCTTGAGGTCCTCACTAAGTTCCTTGAGCATCCTTATAACCAGTGTTTTGAGCTCTGCATCTGATAGATTGCATATCTCCATGTTGTTTAGTCCTCTTTCTGGAGTTTTGATCTTTTCTTTCATTTGGGCTGTGTTTCTTTATCTCCTCATTTTCGCAGCTTCCCTGTGTTTGTTTCCATGTATTAGGTAGAGCTGCTATGACTCCCTGTCTTGGTAGAGTGGCCTAATACAGTCGGTGTCCTGTAGGGTCCAGTGGCACAGCTTCCCCTATCGCCCAAGCAGGTACTCAAGGTACACCCCTTGTGTGGGCTGAGTACCCCTTGTGTGGGCTGAGTACACCCTCCTCTAGTAGTTGAGCCTTGGTTGCTGTTGGCACGTCAGTGGGAGGGATTTACCCAGACCAGTCAGCTGCAAGAGCTGACTGTGACCCCTGACCACCAACCTTCGCCCTCCATGGAGGATCACCTGTGCAGGGGCAGGGTGGTGGTGCTCCAGCGTGGTCTTTAGCTGTCCACTGGGTGCGTAGGCTTGGGGTTTCACAGGTGGAGCAGGCCAAGGTCAACCCCCACGTGTATTTTGCCCGGAGCCACACTGCCTGGGCTATAAAGCAAACTCAGATGGCTGCTACTCTTACTGGTTTTGGAGATTCAAAGCCAAAGCTACGCTGTGGATCTAGACTGGCTGCTTCTCGTGCTGGGAGTGAGTCTACTCAGCAAAAGGTACAGGGACTGGGGGCTCACTGAGACTGGCTGCTGCTTGTTTGAGAGGATTTAGGAAGTTGTGCAGTGTGAGCCAAGATCAGCCATTCATGTGGAAACATCACAGTTAACAGTTTGGGTAGGCCCAATTGGGTGGGGAGGAATCTCAGGGAATCTCCAGTGTAGAGAAAACAGTTAGCCAGGTTGATGGAGTCTCTGCTATGGCACCTGCCTGCCAGTTCTGTGGATCCGTGGCAGAAGGGTTCAGAAAAGGGACAATGGTCTCTGCCCGCCTTTCATCAGGGAGAAAGCAGTCCCCCTGCTCCTGCTCTGATGCCAGGCAGTTCAATTCCTCCCTATATGACACTGGTACCTTCCAAGATCCTACCCCAATGTTGGAGCTCAGGAGTCAGTCTGAGTAAGTACATGTGTGGGCTCTTTAAGGGGACCTGCTTGAGGCTCTGGCAGTTTCTTCTATCAACTCAGTCCCTGCTGGTTTTTTCAGCCAGGAGTTATGAGGACTTATTTTCCTCGCACTGGAATCCAGGGCTGGGGGCCTGGTATGAGGCTGAGACTCCTTGCTCCTGAGATATCCCTCCTGAATTTTTATCTACTGTACGTGGACACAGGACCAGTCTGTTCCACATGTCCTCTCCTCATACCAGTCTGGATGGATGTGGTTTCTTTTATTCCACAGTTGTCAGACTTCCATTCAACTCAATTTCTGATGGTTCTGAGTAATGGCTGTCCTATATTTTAGTTGTAATTTTGATGGGGTTGTGTCAGGAGGCAAGCCATGATTACTTATGCCCTCATCTTGACCAGAAGTCCTGGAAAATTTTCTTCAACTAGACAGTGACCATGGGTGCACAACTTCATGAATATACTAAATCACTGAGTCAGACACTTTAAAAACTATTTTATTTTATGGTCATTATATTTCAAATGCTGTAATTTTTTTTAAAAAGGAAATACAGAAATGTGAGCCCAGGCATTTTCCATAAAATACTTTTATGAGGAAAATGCTCCTCTATGCACAATATATCCCATCTTAGAAATTCACAATGCATACAGAATGGAACAAAAGTAGGTTTACATTTGTCATATGGAAAGTAATACAATAGTTAATAAATAACAAGAATAAATTCTGTTTCCTGTATCACAACTGTAAATCTACTTTTGCCCCAACCTGTATATTAAAGGTTCTAAGAAGTTCTTAAGAAAACTAATTGCTATGTTTAACCCAGTTTCCCAAAAGCACTTAACATCTCAATATACCGGTGCCCTTCCCACCAAGCCTATTAATATCCATTTGGACCTAATGTTCCCTGGAATACATTAGGAATATCTGCTTAGTATTTCACAAATACAAAACAATACAAAACAAAAGGATCAGAAGGCTATTATTTATCATCTGTGGAACTGAAATGTACTAATGGAAATGTTTTTAATAAATTCTTATCTACTGTTTAAACCAATACATTTCTAAGAAGTAGTTCATACATTTTGTAAGTCAGTTAACTAAACCACTTTTAAATGCCATGAATCTTTTGACAAAAAGAAAATTACAGCCCAATTATTTAAACAAATATGTCTACTGTAAAGGAGAAAATCATTAGAAAATATACTTTCTCCTTACCCCATGCCCAAAATAGAGGTTTTTTAAAGTTTTATTAGCTTTCTGACTTATATCAAAAGACATGTCAGAAGTCCCAATAAATAATTCAATACCTGTAACATTTCCAACTAAAAATAAAAATGACTTTCTTTAAAAGGTCAAAATTCATATGAAATCACCAGCAAAAATGATATCAACTATCTGAAGAGCTAATATACTCTTTTCTCCTATACAGCCCAAAAGTGAATGAGTTCAGCTACATGCAATAACTTGGATCAAGGTCATTAATATACTAGTGTTCAATAAAAGCAAATCACAGAATACAAACCATAGTAGTCCAATTTACAAAAAGTTCAAGCAAGAGTTTTTTTTAGTTTTTGTTTCTGGGAACATAAAATACATGAATCTCTATAAAAACAATGGCATGATAAAAAGCAAATTTCAGACAAGTGGTTAACTCTGGGGAGAGAGGACCTTCGGTAGGAATGGTGCTCTTTTTATATTGAACACTGTGGGCACAAAGAGAACACAACTCTTTCTTTGAATTTATAATATAAAAAGATCTAAAACTTCAAATTTTCTACCACTGAAATCATAATACCTCATATAAAATTTGTCACTAATTCAAGCAAATTTACCTTCCAAATACTGCATTTAATTTTTAAAGTCATATAAGAAAAAAAAAACAATCTTATATAATTTGATAGATAAAACCAACAGATATACCCTAAACTCATTAACATATAAAAAATAAATTCATAACTGACCATTCCCATCCCCAGGATAGCATAGTTGTAAAGTAAACCCTAAATAAAAAACAAGTTTTTAAAATGTAAACAGTTGTTGAGTAATTTCAACAAATAATTATTAGTATTACAAAAGATATTCTAGTATTACCTGGGACAAGATTCAAAGGTAATCTTCTGGGTGAAATTGCTCTGGGGTGCTGCTTACTAATTTCTTCATAAATCTGAAGCCTCTCTTCTAAAGTGCCTATTATTAGTAAATATGTGTGAGATTCAAAGCATCAAAACTTTTATCTATGATAAAACACTAATATACTTTAAAAATTATGTTATGAAAATTGCATTAACAATATTAAAGCTGCTCTCAATTTCTGTAAGAATAACATTAAAAATTCTGTGGTGGTGAAATAATATAGTCAGTAAATAATCATTTTGAGCCCAATCTCTGGAGAAATCCAAAACTTCTTTTATTACAACAGATTCTATATCCACCTCAAATCATATGTACACAAGACACAAAGACTCAAGATAACTTGTACTGCATTTGTCTTATATTCCTTACCGTAGAACCCATGAAAAAGGAAATGTTTCTTTATAACAGCAATTTCAACCAGTGTGCTCTCAGAGACCCGCTGGTGTGCTGTGAGAACTTTTAAAACATGTGATACCTTGATACCTTCTAATGAAGTTGGTCAAGAGTGCTGGCCTCTTTTCCCTCAGGTTGTCAAATTAAAAAATGACAACAGCTGTCCAGTGTGAATGAATCAAAATTACACCTCTTTCTTTTTGTCAGACTGGCAAAAAATATATTTTTTGGTGTGCAGCAGAATTTTAGTAATTAGTTTATGTGTGCCATGAAATGAAAAAAATTGAAAATTGCTGCTTTATGACATCTTACAGAAACCTTCTGGACCAATAAAGCCTACACATGTCCCCACAGAAGTATATTAACACCCACTGATTAGGCTTAGAGAAGCAACAGTTTTAAAGTTTTGAATACAAATATTTTCTACATAAGGAGGTAAATTGTATTTCTATGGTAGCCTTGACACTTAAAATCTTCAATGAAACTCTGTTATAAAGAACCCCATTAGTACAGACCATGTTTTAAGTAACATTCTTCCCAAATACAATGATATAGAATATACTTCTAATAGACAGTTGTATCTTCCCTTCCAAGACTAACCTAATTTTATAGTACTAAATAGAAGCTCTATATATAAACTACATGATACTCTGCAACAACAATTTGCAGATTATAATCTGGATCTTGTTTGTTATTCTGAAACAATATCCTGCATAATTTACAAAGAGGAGAACAGCACGCATTATTTTATATAAGCAATAAGTCAACTGTAAGCAAAAACTTGTTTTTAAACTATAAGGTTTAAAGAATAATTAATTCAGACCACAGGAATACAGTAAGAATAACCCTTAGTGTTAGCAATCAAAGTATTTCCATAATAAATGTAGAGTTAAGTATCATGATTATAAACACTGCACTTGTCTGATTTTTGTTGAAGACTCCTTCCTTCCCCCAATAATATGTTTTGGAGCTCCAATGTGGTTGGATTTTTAGAACTGGGATATGTGAAAAATAATTTTCACATTCTGTTAACAACTGGAGACTTCATAAAATATTAAGGACCCTTCCACTAAAATTCACATGAAAGCTATTACGTGTTATTTTAAAAAAGCAGTCCTCATAGTCAGGCCTAATGTTAAAAAATGACAAGCTGGAAATATAGCATAATTTTTTCACTACCCCAGATATAACAAGTCTTATAAATGTAGTTAAATTAACATTAAGCAAAACCAAAGCATTTCAATGCCTTATTTCAAGTCACAGATTGGAGCTCCAGAACTTACCATGGGGGAGAAAAGGTCCTACAGAACCTAAAAAGATAAAGTAATATAATTAGTTTTGTAATCAATACATTTTAGATTTAGTATGGATCCTGACACAAGGAATATAATACTTTTTTTCCTTTTACTAAACCATGTAAATAATCTGTATTATCAACCACATGTTAGTATCTGGTGGTTTAAAGAAAAATAGTTATCTCATATTTCCAACTTTCAAACACATCACTTTAGTCCTGTTTTTAAAAAAAGGACTGATCTAACCAATAATTAAATTTTCATCATTTCCTTAAAAACATTTAAGTAAAGTACTTTAATAATTGTAACATTAAATTTTAAATACAAACAGAAAACCTGGATTCCTGGATTAAATATAGAAGTGACTAGGATACAACAAATAAACTTTTCTCATGGTTCACATTACTGTAAGTGAACATGGATAGATACCTATTTAGCATACTTCTTAAATTTAAAAGTTCTGCTATTTCAACACCCCTGGGCCATATATTTATCCATAAGTAATATGATTTTAGAAATATTAATGGATAACATTTAATTATGAAAATATTAGGAGAAATTTGGACTGGTACTTCGTATTTCTGAAAAGGGTCAAGGTGGTATAATTTCAAAAGATATATAACATTTTATGCTACACAAATTAACCCATTTTGAAATTAAGAGAATAATTTTGATGCCAACGCTGTATACCATACACTCTTGGTAAAATTTCTTTGGCCCAATTCTTATATTTAGAAGTTGAGGATAACAGACCTCTAATTCTTTAAAAACATTAGATAAATATGACATTTCCCAGAAAGAGAATGCTCATTTTCTTTCCCACCTCTCTAGTTAGTCTAAATAGGTAACATTACAATGGGTCAAGAAACCTAAAATTATCTGTACACATTTATCACCTAAGTATAAATATTTTAATTAATTTTCACTCTGATGTTTAACCTGTAAGTTTCCTACACTAAAAACTGAATCTTAGGGCTAAAAATATTTGTCCTCAAATATTATTACAACTTATATTTTATTATACTTTAAACAATAGTTCAAAGAAGATAGAGGAGAAAAATCATTACATACTAAGTTGTAGAGCTTTTTCCAAGCCTTCATAATAACACCAATTTTCTGCATTCCGATCAATCAAGTTTTTGAATACTTCACTGGCTTCTTTTAATCTTCCCAATTTTAACAGCATTTCCCCTAAAATTAAATTTAAAGTCATACTCATTTAACTTAAACATTAAATATCCTTCTGATCCCAGAGATTGCACTAAACATTATTAGTTTAATAGATGTTTATGAAAGACAGAACTGTATGTGCCTTCCTTTGGGGCATATTGCAGTTTATGTAACTAAACATAGATTAATTTACAGCTTGCCTTAGAAATGGACCTTCATTTACACATTCTACTATACTAACATTCATTTTTGGCTCCCTCCAACATCCTGAATATACATATAGAAAATTTATTAGGAAAATCTTTGCATTACGCATATTTTTATATAACCTTTAAGATAATGAAAGACTCCCTACACAGAATGGTAAATAATACTAATGAAATATCCCTACCTTCCTACTGCACAATTTAAATATACTCTTCCTGATAAATCATATATTAAACAATTCTCTATTTAATCCTCTCAGTTTCCTTTCCAGGTCACTAAAATTGGGCTTAATTCAGTGAAACAATAATATTAGGTTGGCCAAAAAGTCTGTTTCATTTTTTCCGTTAAATAAAAGAAATATTTTTCATTTTCACCAATAACTATAGATTTGGATATTCTGAGTATGTTGATTCTCTCCTGTGTGATGTTACATTGACTGTTCTCAATTAATGTCTCAATCTGATTGCTATCAGCTTCAACACCTCTACCTGACCATGGAGCATCATTCAGCAAGAAACCTCTGGCACGAAATTTCGCAAACTACTTTTGACACGTTCAATCAGTCACAGCACCTTCTCCATACACTGCACAAATTTTTGTGTGTGTGTGTTTCATTGTGTTTTTACCTTTCTTGAAATAATAAAGCACAATACGTCAACAACGTTGCATATTTTCTTCCACCTTCAATATTAAAATGGCTGCACAAAAATTCACCAATTTTGACAAGTCTTTTTAAATGCACACTGATATGACAGCTGTCTCTATACAATCTAACAAAATTGTTTCAAATGAAGGTAAAGACAACTTAGCACTACTAGAGCTGTCATACCAAAAAAATGTAACAAACTTTATGGCCAACCCAATACTACACACTTCACAGCAAGAAACACCACAAACCCTGTTCACATGTGGGACACCTCCAAGGTTCAAATTTTATGCGGCTTTTATGAAGGCACACAAACTGAAAATGGGTATGGGAAATGAAGATCTAAACTTCTGAGACATAATGGAGAGCACACCTAATCTATGATAAAAGGATTCTCAAAAAAGGATGTATCTCAACTTCCTATCCTTCCTTAAGATTTCCCACTCCCCAAAGAATCTATTTTAAACAAATAATCCTCTGAAATGTCTTCAGGTCTTACTATTTCAGCTTTCACCATCTTGTAGGAGGCAGCATATGGCAGTGCTAACTATATACTATTATTTTACTATTTAAATGTTATAATGTTATATATTATTCAAGCTCTAGAGTAAAACTAAATGTAATTACTAGTTTTTCCACTTTCTAGCTTTGTGAACGTGAATGAGTTAGCAATTTTCAAAGTCCATTTCCTTACCTCTCTAGTATCAGCTACCTCAATATACTTATGTGATAATCAAAGGAAGTAACTTACTTAATGTGGTTAGCACAATGCTTGATACAAAGTGAATACACTTAAAAGATTTGCCACTTAAAACTATAAACATGTAGCCCTGGCTGGTGAGACTCAGTGGACTCAGTACCAGCCTGTGAACCAAAGGGTCGCCGGTTCGATTTCCAGTCAGGGCACATGCGAGGAAACCACACACTAGTGTTTCTCTCCCTTTCCTTCTCCCTCCCTTCCCCTCTTTCTAAAAATAAATAAATAAAATCTTAAAAAGAAAACTACAAACATATGTAATAGATAACAGCCTGTTCTTCAATTCTAAAAACTGTTATAAGCTACTACCACTTACATATTTATAAAATAAAAATCTCTAAGTTTAACAGTTTTTTAAAGTATCTTAATATTTTAATGGCTACAAAAGACCTAAGTGTATAAATATCAAAGTCTCTGGGCTAGCAAAGTTCACTGAAAAAATAATACCATCACCTGTCTTTAAAAGCAATATAGAGTACTGGGTTTTATATTCAAATTGATGGCCCCTAAATAACCCTCATTACCAATATATGCTACAACTTGCAGAATTTTAAAACCAGAATTGACCACACTATATCACATTTATTTCTTAATACCTGCATTTCCTATTGATGGTGTAAGGCAAAGACAGAGAAAGAGAAAAAGCAACCTGAGAATTAAGATTTAAACAGGAAATAGTAACAATATATGAGAACATAAAAATAATTGCCTTTTCTTTTTTGTTCGCATTAATTATAGGTAATAGAACAAGAAGGAAACCAGAATATTATTTATGCACATTTTACTAATAGTTTGAAAAACAGTGTGTTGTAGTTACTATTGATTGCAGTTCACAACAGAAACTAAGTCAGTCACTGGCTGTACACTACAAGTAAGGCTTCCAGTCAAGATGGCAGTGTAGGCAGACATGGCTCACCTCTTTGCACAACCACATCAAAATTACAACTAAAATACAGAATAGCCATCACTCAGAACCATCAGAAATCGAGTTGAATGGATCTGACAACTACAGAATTGAAGAAACTACATTTGCCCAGACTAGCAGGGGTGGCTCAGATAAGGAAAGAGCTGGTCCCTCACCCACATGTGATGGAGAAAAATTCGGGAGGGATAGCTTGGGAGCAAGGATTTCCAGCCCCACACCTTGTCCTCCAGCCCAGGATGATAAGTCCTCGTAACTTCTGGCTGAAAAAACCAGTAGGGATTGAATCAGTGGAAGAAACTTCTAGAGCCCCAAGCAGTTCTTTTTTAAAGAACACATACATGGACTCACCTACGCAGGTTCACTCCATGGAGCTCCAGCATTAGGGTAGCAGCCTGCAAGGCACCAGCGGCGTACAAGGAGGAACTGAAGTGCCAGGCATCAGGGCAGGCAGAGGCCATGGTCCCTTTTCTGAACCCTCCCCCGACAGAGCCACAGAAATTGACGACAGTCGGCAAGCACTGTTTGACCAGCCTTGGAGATCTCCAGAGACTCTACTCCAGCCAAACTATGGGCTTACCCAAGCTGCTTGTCCATATGATTGGCTGGTCTTGGCTCACACTGCACAACTTCCTAAATCCTCTCAAACAAGCAATAGCTGCCCTCACTGAGCCCCAGGCCTGGAACTAACAGCGGCCAGCCTAGATTCTTAGCGTGGCTTTATCTGGGAATTTCAAAGCCCAGCAAAAGAAGCAGCCATCTGAGTTTGCTTTATAGCCCAGGCAGTGTGGCTCCGGGCAAAATACACGTGGGGGTTGACCTTGGCCTGCTCCACCTGTGAAACCCCAAGCCTACGCACCCAGTGGACAGCTAAAGACCACGCTGGAGCACCACCACCCTGCCCCTGCACAGATGATCCTCCATGGAGGGCGAAGGTTGGTGGTCAGGGGTCACAGTCAGCTCTTGCAGCTGACTGGTCTGGGTAAATCCCTCCCACTGACGTGCCAACAGCAACCAAGGCTCAACTACTAGAGGAGGGTGTACTCAGCCCACACAAGGGGTACTCAGCCCACACAAGGGGTGTACCTTGAGTACCTGCTTGGGCGATAGGGGAAGCTGTGCCACTGGACCCTACAGGACACCGACTGTATTAGGCCACTCTACCAAGACAGGGAGTCATAGCAGCTCTACCTAATACATGGAAACAAACACAGGGAAGCTGCGAAAATGAGGAGATAAAGAAACACAGCCCAAATGAAAGAAAAGATCAAAACTCCAGAAAGAGGACTAAACAACATGGAGATATGCAATCTATCAGATGCAGAGCTCAAAACACTGGTTATAAGGATGCTCAAGGAACTTAGTGAGGACCTCAAGAGCAAAACAGGTCCAGCCAGAAACAAAGGACACACTATTGAAACAAAGAACAACTTACAGGGAAACGACAGTAGAGTGCATGAAGCCAAGAATCAAATCAGTGATTTGGAACATAAGGAAGAATAAAACTACCAATCAGAACGACAAGAAGAAAAAAGAATCCAAAAAATTGAGGATAATGTAAGCAGCCTCTGGGACAACTTCAAGAGGTCCAACATTTGCATCACTGGTTGCCAGAAGAAGAGAAAGAGCAAGAAATTGGAAATCTATTTCAAAAAAGTAACGAAAGAAACCCTTCCTAATCTGAAGGAAATAAACATGCAATTCTAGGAAGCACAGAGAGTCCCAACCAAGATGGATGCAAAGAGGCCCACTCCAAGACACATCATAATTAAAATGCCCAAAGGTTAAAGATAGAGAATCTTAAGAGCAGCAAGAGAAAAGCAGTTAGTTACCGACAGGGGCGTTCCCATAAGACTGTCAGCTGATTTCTCAAAAGAAACTTTGAAGGCTAGAAGGGATTGGTAAGACATATTCAAAGTCATGAAAAGCAGGGACCTACAGCCAAGACTGCTTTACCCAGCCAAGATAACATTTAGAATCAAAGGGCAGAAAAAAGAGCTTCTCGGCAAGGAAAAAAACTAAAGGAGTTCATCATCACCAAACCATTATTATATGATATGTTAAATAACGGACTTCTTTAAGAAAAAGAAGATCACAACTAGAAACAATAAAATGGCAATAAACACGCATCTGTAAACAACTGAATCCTAAAAAACAAACTAAGCGAACAAGAAGAACAGAGACAATCATGGATCTGGAGAGAGTTTTGATGGTTACCGATGTGGGGGCAGAGGAAGAATGCGTGAAATGGTGAGGGGGTTAAGAAGGACAAATAGTTACAGAATAGCCATGGGGATGTAAAGTACAATGTGGGAAATGGAGTAGCCAAAGAACTTACACACGTGACCCATGGACATGAGCAGTGGTGGCAGGACTGCCTGAGGGAGTGGTAGTGCTGGGTGGAGGGGAGCAAAGGGGGAAGAATCAGGATAACTGTAATAGTATAATCAATAAAGTATAATTTAAAAAAACAAGTAAGTAAACTATAGCAGTTAAAAAGTAAGGGTCATGAAAAGACATGAAGAAAACTTAAATGCATATTACTAAGTGAAAGAAGTCAATCTCAAAAGGTTATGTGCTGCACAATTCCAAATACATGACATTCTGGAAAAGGCTCAATGATGGAGAGAGTAAGAGGATCATAGATCCAGGGTTGGGAGTAGGGGGAAACAAATAAACAAAGCACAGAGGATTTCTAGGACAGTGAAAACTAATACTCAGTATGACACTATAATGGTAGATGCACGTCATTATACATTTGTCAAAACCAAGAAGGCATACAATACCAAGAGTTAACAGGAATGTAAACTATAGACTTCGGGTGGTAATGATGTGTTCAATGATTGCAATAAATATACCAGTCTGGTGGAGAATGTTGACAGTAGAGGACACTATGTATGATTAGGGACATACTGTATCTGAGAAATTTCTGAACTTTCAGCTTGATTTTGCTGTGTAGTAGTAAATCTACTCTAAAAAATAGTCTATTAAATATTTTATTTTCTCAATGAGGGCTCTGAAGTCAGAAGGATGGGCAAGTACTTAACATCTCTGAACCTTCGCTTTCTCAGCTATTAAATGGAGATAGTAAATGGTACCCACATTAGAAGTGCTAAATTTTAAATGAAATAAAGCAATTTAAGCAATTAACATACTCTGAAACACAGGAAGAATAAATGTTAGTTATTATTTTTGTTAAGCTTTAGCAGTCCTGCAACTATACTAAATTTAGTTTTAAACTAAGTATTTTAGTTGTTCATTCTATTTAATACAGTATTTCTTATGGAATGGGTAATTGATGAACAAAGCTTTGTTAAGGAAAAAAATGTGCTTGACCATTTGCTGATGAACATATTTAACAGACTATTAGAATCCTGTCTTCATAATTAGCCCATAATGAATCTTGCTTTCTTGATGATCCCAGTGTCATTTACTAGTTTCATTACATTTTACTATACACAGAAATATATGAGTATATATGGAAGGATGGAAGGAAGGAAGGGAAAGAAAGGGAGCAAGGGAAGGAGAGAAGGGAAGGAGGGAAGAGAGGGAGGGAGGGAGGAAGGAAAAGATAGAGAGGGAGGAGGGAGAGAGGGAGAAAGGGAAGGAGGGAGGGGGAGGAAAAAAAGAAAAGAAAAAAGAAGGAAGGAAAAAGAAAGAGAGAGAGAAAGAGAGGGGAGGAGAGAGAGAGAGAAAGACAGACAGACAAGACTAACTTGACTATAAAAACAGTAACACATTCTGCTTAAGAAAATGGAATCTGGCCCTGGCTGGTGTGGCTCAGAGGACTGTGCGTCCTCCTGAGAACCAAAGGGTTGCCAGTTGGATTACCAATCAGGACACATGCCTGGGTTGCAGACCAGGTCCCCAGCAAGGGGGGCAAAAGAGACAACCACACATTGATGTTTCTCTCCCCCTTTTTCCCTGCCTTCCCTTCTCTCTAAAAATAAATAAAATCTTGCCCTGGCCCCTGTGGCTCAGTGGACTGAGTGCCAGCCTGCAAACCAAAGGATTGCTTGTTCAATTTCCACTCAAGGCACATGCCTAGGTTGCAGGCCAGGTCCCCAGTGGCAGCACAGGAAAGGCAACCACACGATGATGTTTCTCTCCCTCTCTTTCTTCCTCCCTTCCCCTCTCTCTAAAAATAAATAAAATCTTAAAAATATATAAAATATTTTTTTAAAATGTTAAAAAAAAATGAAAATGGAATCTGGAGTCAAAGTTCCTGGCCTTACACCAGCACTACCCAGCTTACTTAGCTGTGTGACTATGGACAAGTCCCTTAATCTTTTTGTTCCCTAGTCCCCCAACTCTAAAGTGAATGTAACAACTACATCATAAAGTTGTTTGTAGATTAAATTAATTAATAATGGCTTAACAATGTTACCTGATACATAATAAGTCTCATTTAAGTGTTAGGTCAGAATAAAGTTCATGGTTTTTTGTTCATTTCTTTAATTGAGGCATGAAAAAAAGAAAAAGCAAGTCAACTAACCTTTAATTTCTTCCACCAAAAGTTTATCACATATTTGTTTCTCATACGTTTCTATATGTTCCAAAGATTCCTGAAACAGATCTGCTTCTCGCATCACTTGATTCTGGTATAATATCAGTTCACTATATTCATAGTCTATTTTGTTGAGAGGAACCTATAAATGAAAGGACCAAATTACCTTATTTATATAATTACATAAAGCAGTTTCAAATCTTTAATTTCACTGCTTTCTCAGGAAAGCAACTCACATGAACTTAAAAAAGCAACCCACAAAAAATTACAAATAGAAGAGTGATTAACAGCAAAGATTAATACATTCTTTAAAATAAATGAGGGGATGGGACTTAAGTATAGAGCAAAGCAAATAGGTCCTATATCCCCAAAAAACTATAAAAATGGTTAAAATCCTAAGGAATCTATATTTAAAAACCTATTAGAACTCACCAAGGAGTTAGGCAAGGTAAAAGAAAACAAAACCAATATATAATACAAAACCAGTTATTTTTCTATACACTAGCAACAAACAACCCAAAATTAAAATAATTTCATTCACAATAGCATCAAAAAGAACAAAATGTTTAGGAATAAATTAAAGAAACAAGATCTATATACTGAAGACTACAAAATATGCTGAGAGAAATTACAGACCTAAATAAATGGTGAGATAGTCCATTCCACATTTATGGATCAGAATACTCAATAATGTTTTGGTGGCAATTCTCCCCAAATTGCACCATAAATTCAATGCAATCCCCACCAAACTCTCAGCAAGGCTTTTTGAAAAAATTTATAAGCTAATCCTAAAATTCATATGGAAAAAAAAGAACACTATATGGCCAAAAGAATTTGAAAAAGAACAATGTAAGGAGGTCATGCATTTCAAATTTCAAAGTTAACCATAATTACAGTAATCAATACAGTGTGGTACTGGAATAAAGATATACATATGTGGAACAGAATACAGGCCCAAAATTAAGCTTTTATATTCTGGTCAATTGATTTTCTACAAAGATGCCAAGGTAATTCAATGGGGAAAGGGTAGTCTTCTCAACAACAAATGGTGGGAAAATTAAATATCCATATGCAAAAAAAGACCTTAGACACACAATTCACACCATATACTAAAATTAATTTTAAATGGATCACATACCTAAACATGAGCACTGAAACTATGAAAGAAATCTTAGAGGAATAGAAGAAATTCTTTGTGACCCTATGCATAAGAAAAAATTAGTAAACTGGACTTCATCAAAATTATAAAAGTTTTCTTTTTCAGAAGACAGCATTAATAACATGAGGACACAAGTTACAGATTGCGAGAAAATATCTGCAACTAATATATTTGATAAGGAACTTGTATTAAGAATACAAGAAACTCCTACAACTCAGATGTAAGACTAATAACCCAATTAAAAAATGGACACAAGATCTGAATAGATATTTCATCAAAGAAGAACTATAAATGGCTAATAATAACATCATAAAATGGTCAATATTATTATTTGTTAGGAAAATGCAGAGATACCACTAAAACAGATACTATTACACATCCACTAAGATGGGCATCATGAAAAAAATGAGACAATAGCCCTGGCTGGTGTGATTCAGTGGACTGATTGCTGGACTGTGAACTGAAAGGTCACCAGTTCAATTCCCAGTTACGGCACATGCCCGGGTTGCGGGCTAGGTCCCCATTTGGGGGAATACAAGAGGCAGTGATCAATTTATCTCTTGCACATTGATGTTTCTCTCCCTCTTCCTTAAAAGAAGGGAAGAGGGAAATAAATAAATAAACAAATAAATACATAAAATGTTTTTCTTTTTCTTTTTTAATTAGACAATAACTGTTGTTGGGGATGGGTAGAACTGGATTGCTCATACATTGCTGAAGCCACTTAGGAAAACAACTAGGCAGTTTATTAAAAAGTTAAATATATACTTACCAAAAAAACAAGAAGTTTCATTCTTAGATATATATCAGAGAGAAATTAAAACATAAGTACAGACAAAAATTTGTACAGAAATGTTCACAGTAGCATCATTCATAATAAACTAAAAATAATCCTTATGTCCACCAATTAAATAGATAAGCAAAGTGTGGTATATCCATAATGAAACAGTATCCAGCATTAAAAAAGAATGTACTACTATATGCTCTAATATGGATGAATCGCAAAAAGACACTAGAGAATAACAGAATATAGAGACAAAACACTATCTTATGATTGCTTTTATATTATTGCAAGTGCATTATTTATGCATATGGAGAACTATGTTATTGTATAAAGGACTTAGCATACAAACTCTGTATTAAGAATTACTTGATAAATGAAAAGAGAAAGTATATCACTCTAGCAGGTAAAATTAGTTTGGTTCTCATTTCAAAAAATAATACCTTGCTTTCAGAGTAAATGTCAAAGAAGTTGTTTGCATCAAGAAAATACAAAGAGGATGATATTAGCAAAAATACCTCCAAAAACTCATTTCTCCAAAAAAGAAAGAAAGAAGCTGGCAAAAAAACTCTCAATCCCCTTTTTCACAACTCTGGAAATTAACCAAACGCCTACAGCAACCTGGAAGCACTTCTTGAAGAAAAACAGCCGCATCTTGGTTAGATCAGTGAGCTCTGTAGTGTTTTAATCTGTCCTAATTCTACACCATGCTCTCCAGCTACTGACACACAGCAGCCTTGAGAAATGAGTTTGGATTCCCAGAGCAGCCACCAGAGAGAACAGAATAAAGCTGGAGCTCTTTCAAAGCCTCTTTCCCAATGAACTGTAATTAATGGCAAGACCCCACGTGCAAGCAAACTCAAAGTTTGCCCAGAGCAAAAAGCTTCAGGGGCAGAAAAGAGCCAGAGATTTCTGTCAAAAACAGTTACAGACAAGTGTTTACCTTTACAGCACCTGAAGTGATGAATAACAGTCTGTGCAAAGAACAGACTAACCAAAAATTTTACCCGAGAAGCTAGGAAATGTGATGTCCACAGAGGTCAAGCCACACACACACAGAGGTATGCATATGCTCAGGAAAGACCTCAGGAAACCCTAAATTCTCACCTCTTGCTGACCTGACCCTGAACAAACAAGAAGCAAAATCTAAAACAGAGTTGTAAGCTGACTGAGTGCTGAAGGCATACCCCAACATACCCACAGAGAAAATGAACAAAACTACATGCTGATTCTTTGAAAGAACACCACAAATGACAAACCTAGAATAACCAAGAAAAAGACTACTAAAATCAAAAATAAAAAGACAGACATTACCACAGACCCTACAGAAATAAAAAGGATTATAAAGAATTATTGTGAAAAGTTGTATGCCAACAAATTATATAACTTACACAAAATGAGCTAATTCCTGGGGGGAAAAAAAACACAAGCTACTGAAACGGACTCAAAAAGAAATAAAAAAGTTGAATACACCAGTAACAAGTAGAGAATAAATTAGTTATCCATGAGCTTCCCATAAAGAAAAGCCCAAGGCCAAATGCCATCACAGGTAAATGCTACCAAATGTTTACAGAAGAATTAACACCATCTTTCACAAACTTCCAGAAAACAGGAGGGAACACTTCCCAACTCATTCCAAGAGGCCAGACACAGACAGCAAACAAAAAGAAACCTACAGTGTTGACCAATATGTATCAATGGGTTAGGCATTGTCCTGCATACCGAAAGGCCACTGGTTCAATTCCCGGTCAGGGGCACGTGTCTGGGTTGCAGGCCATGTTCCTGGTTGGGGGCGTGTAAAAGTCAACCGACTGATATTTCTCTCACACATAGAAATTTCTCTCCTACTCTTTCTCCCTCCCTTCCCCTCTCCTTAAAAATAAATAAAATCTTTAAAAAAAAACAAACATAGACTACATCTCTTATCCTATTATCCCTTAACCTCAATAATATTCAAGGAAACACAAAAGAAAAATGAGATAAACTTCATACCTAGAAGATAAGAAAAACTAAAAAAACTGACAAGTGACAGCAAAGATGTTGAGGAAATGATCATTGTAAAGCCTTGCTGGTAGGCATAGAAATTAGTGACAGCTATTTCAGAGTGATGACAATACTTACTAAGGATGAAAACACACAGCCACGGCTCTGCAATTCCAGTTTTAGGTATATACTGAAGAGAAACTTACAAACGTAGCAGACAAGAATATTCATTACAGCAGGGTTTTGTAATAGAGGCAAAAAATAATGGATAAACTATAACATTTATACAATGAACACCAAATAGCAATTAAAAATTGATTAAACTAGCCCTACATGTATCAACATAGACATATTTCAGGAAAAGTTGAATGGAAAAAAAAACTGCGTATCATTCATATACATTCTTAAGTACACAAAATAACTGGGGTTTTTTCCTAGCCACAGTTTACATTTGATACCGTTCCATACCAGTTCAGATGTACAGCAAAATGGTCAGAAAACCACAGTCTAGAGTGTTCCCCCATCTCGCCTTGCTCTGCCCCGGGCATCCACCTGACCCCATACCCAGTTATCTCAACATTACTGAACTTATTCTCCATGCAGCAATTTCCGTCTCTGTGGCTATTCTGCAACTACCAATCTGTACAGCTTAATTCCTTTACCTTTTTCCCCCAGCCCTCAACACCCCTCCCACCTTCTGACAGCTGTCAGTCTGTTCTCTGTATCTAGGAGGCTTTCTGTTTTGTTTATTTTGTTCATTAGGGTCCACATATGAGTGAAATCATATGGTATTTGTCTTTCTCTGACTCATTTATTTCACTGAGCATAACACCCTCTAGGTCCATCCATGTTGTGGCAAAAGGTAAGATTTCCTTATTTTTTATGGCCAAGTAGAATTCCATTATGTAAACACACCGCTGTTGATCTACTCATCTACTGATGGGCACTTGGGTTGCCTCCAAATCTTGGCTATTGTAAATAACACTGCAATGAACATAGGGGTGCATATATTCTTTGGAATTAGTGTTTTGGGTTTCTTCAGATCTATTTCCAGAAGTGGAATCACTATTCATAAGGCAATTACATTTTAAAATTTCTGAGGAACCTCCACACTATTTCCTATAGTGGTTGCACCAAGGAATTGTGTTTTACCTTGTCAAATTTTTTCAAACTTTTCTATATGTTTCAAAGACTTTAATTCACATTTTGGCAATACAGAAGTCAACTATTTTATTTGTGAAGGTAGGAAAAATACATTAAAATTAATTTCTTACTTGCTGAGTCTGTCTAAATTCTTCCAGTAGCTTTAGTGCCATATCATAATCTTTCAGTAAATGGTATGCAATAGCATATCCAATCCAGGAAGCACGTTGTGTTGGGCGCAACTGAAGAAGCTGATACCGTGTCTCCTTAAAAAAAAATAAATAAATAAATAAAATATAATTGTCTTTCTTACTTTTTTAACTTTCTTTAAAATATTAAAACAATTTACTACCTTTGATTCCTTTCTAATGAACTGAATTAAGAAATGGAAGTTCCACAATAAAATGAAAATACTTTTTGTGTTTCTTATCTAAATTACTTAAGTTGTAAAACACCTCATAATGCTCATTGTAAGGCTGTCACAAAAAAGCTGTCCTTGACACCCATGTTTTTGAGCTGACTTTTAAAATTACCTTTATATAACAGAATTCCTTTTGGTAATTATGCGTTAGAAGACAACTAAGATAAGGTTTTTTTTTTTAACTAAGTTTCGCTGTTTATGCAATTATTATATGAAATTACAAAGGACTTATACTGTTACAGTGGGGCCCAGAATCAGGACGGACACAGCCAAGGAGAAATCTCAGACACCTGATAGGGCTTTGCAAGCAGAAACACCACTGCTGCCCCTCTAAGACAGGCCAGCACCTATGACATGATGAAGAAAACACCAGGAGTTCCACAATGCTGTCCTAGAATAACCAAGATATCTTTACTAGCAGAAAATCCAACCTCCCTACACAGGTCTCACTTCGTTGCTCCTGTCTGTCTCCAAGTTTTAAGCAAGTGCAACTGCTTGGAGAAACAGGACCACGTGAAGAACACCAGTTGCAATGGAATTTTGAAAATGTAGTGTTTAGTTTCCATGATTCTGCTGTTGGAATGGGTATCATCCACACTTTTTGCCAAAAGGAGAAAGATGATATCTTTTTTTAGAAGTATCTTTCACAGAACAACTCATTATCACTCTTTTACCTTCATGTGTGTCTGGTTCCTTTTAGGCATATGAAATTATGAGAGTTATTATCACTCTCATTCCTTATTTTTACTGTTGCTTCTGTCACTCTACTCCTTTATTAAAGTCTGAATCAGTTCTCCTCACCCTGCCAAATCTACCATCATCCCGGACAAAAGAAACACTGAAGATCACCCACCCAACTATCTTCTTAGATCTAAGATTTCCTCATCTTTAAAGAGCTCGGCACCCCTCTTCAGAGACCCATTCCCACAACCACATCCTAGACCAGTGATTTTCAGTTAGTGTGCCACAAGAATTTTTAAAACATGCAATACCTGACTATTTAGTCAGGGGCACCAACCTCTTTTCTCTTAAACTGTCAAACTAAAAAAAAAAAAAAAAAAAAATGAGAACAGCCAAAACAAAAATAGCCATCCAGTGTGAATGAATAAAAATTATATCTTTTTTTGGTCAGATCAACAAAAAATACATTTTTTGGTGTGGCACAGAATGTTAGTATTAGTTTCTATGTTCCATGAGATAAAAAAGGTCAAAAATCGCTGCCTGAGGTTGTCAAATAAAAAAGCAACATCAACACAATAATAGCTGACCAGTGTGAACACCCTGTCCTGAACCACAAATATATGTCATAAAATAGAGTTGCATCTTATTGGTCACACTGCATAATAAGGTTGCATCTGACTAGTAATTCTTGGTCCCAGAAATCCTTATGTATGTATAGGAACCTCCTTTTTAAAAAGTCACTTGGAAGCAAAAAGGTAGGTGATTACCATTTTTGTGTGTTTATGTAAATCAATCAAAACTGTATTTTTTTTTGTCAGATTGGCAAAAAGTGTATTTTGGGGTGAGCCACAAAATTTTAGTAATTCGTCTGTGTGCCATGAGATAAAAAGGATAGAAAATCACTATCCTAGACCTTATTTGCTCAGAAATCATGAATTCAAATATCTCACTCTCTGGCCACCATGCCTATGCTGCCATTATTCTCACTTAGTGACATTCCTACCTTTGTTCTTAAGAGGACACCACTAATAACTCTAGTTCCTTCACTTCTAACCGCCAGTTCTTTTACCTTCATTTATTTTACCTCCTTCTTAGGAAACACTCTCTTGCCAGTATTCTTAATTTCTTTGCCTCATACATAAATATAACTAATTTTAAGTCTCACCACACCTAAGTTGCTAAACACTGCTGAAGAAAAACCACAAAACCTTGAAGAATGTTAACTATTATAAAGCTCGGCAAAACTCTTCAAACTTCTGCAAAAATCTAGGCATAGGATATAAAAGGATACAAAAATAAAAAGTAAATGAAAGATTTATTTAAGGAGAACTGTTAAAGAATTGGGGGCCTCCTTCATATAAGAAGGTAAGAGAATTTCATTTTGAACGTAATGAGTTTTGGATACACACAGAGATGCCCCTGCAGAGCTCAAGATGCCACTTTGAAGAGGTCTGGGCTATAGAAAGACTGATGTATGAGAATCCTTCTCACATTATTTTATATTTACTAACCCATCATAAAAAAGCTAATCATTCTCTACATTTAGATTTCAATTATAAACGTTCTGTTTACCAAGTCTGTAAATGTCAAATCCACAAAGAATCTGGTATACAGTATTTATACACAGGAGATAGCCTAGTTTTTTAAAAAGCGTTAAATGAATACAGTTATCCTTTTTTGATCAAGTCTGCAGTTCTATAGCTATTATTGGGAGAAAGTCACTTGGGATCTTTGACTTTCTCCCAATAATCTTGTGATAGTCTTCTACAGACTAGCATGAACAATCAAATCTTCATGATCTTGGTTTATGCTCACCTCATTTTAAATTCACATGCTTTTAAATTATATCTATTGTAAAAATATGTATACTTAAGACTAAAATACTTACTCGGTAACCTTCAAGATCTCTCATTTGGATCTGCAACAGAGAGAGGTCCCTCAAAATTTGCAGATTATCTTTATCTAATTTGAGGGCATTTCGGTAACACTTAATAGCTTCATCATATTTCTTATCAGAACGCTGCAAGAGTCCATATACATGCCAACCTATTAAGTTAAGGAAATATAAACACTCACAGGTACTAGAAAATACTATGCTGCATATCTAATATAAAGCTTACTTTAACAAAATAGTATTTTGTCTGAAGTTTACTTCAGGATGATCTCGGATCCGAGGGAAGGGGACAGTAAACAAGTGGTAAAATGAGATCAGCCTTGATTGATACTATTAAAATTATTGAAGCTGTGTGCTGGGCACATGAGGGTTCATTATTCTATTTTATTTGTGTACGTGTCTGAAAGTTTCCATAATATTTTTTTAAGTAACCTTAGAAAATTCTTGGTAAAATTCTTCAAGTTCTCTATTTTCTATCCCCTCACTCTCCTTCACTCCAGCACCTACCCCAGCACTTCAATGTCACTTACTATGTACTGAAACAGAATATATACAAAAATTGCAATTATCTTTTAAAACAAGTTTATATTCAGTCAATTCTAAAACAACATGTAATCATTAATTAATTCACTAGTGACAGTAAAAGACACAAAAATCAAGTTTTTATGTATTGTAAATGAAATCCTTAGCATTCCTTGGAGCCAAAAAACCTGTCATACTTACATACCCTCTCTCTTTATTCAGGAGTAAGCATTGGGATAAAGAAATAAATATTCAGTATTCTGAGAGAATTCTAAGCTAAATATGTGAGAACACTACCATGATTATTGATAGACAATACTGGTCCACCAGTAGATAAAATGTAAAAAATTAAGAAACAGGACAATATGTGAAAAACTTGTGAATAAACATATAGACAAGCAAAACAGAAATGAAAATCATTTTAAAAAGCATTTTTGTTTTTTTACAAGCTGGGATACTATACATAGAAAAATATAATTATGAGTATAACTGAAAACAGCTATGTCCCTGGGCAACTGAAACGAGCTGAAGAACCAATATAATATCATACTTAACACTAAATAAAATATTTTAAAACAAATTTCTTCTAAATTATCTTCTAAAATTTCTAAATAAAAGTTTAGAAAATACAAAATTACTATACAGATAAGTTATTTAAAATGATGGGGAAAGTATCACTCAGTGTATGGATGTATAGGAAAAACAATGGGTTTCAAGTCACATATAATTATCAAAGTTACTCTTCTCACCCTGGCCAAATGTCTCAGTTGGTTGGAGTGTCGTCTGTACACCAAAAAAGTTGCCAGTTCAATCCCTGGTCAGGGCACATACCTTGGAAGCAAGGGTTTGATCCCCGATGGGGGGTTGGAGGTGCAGGTTGTATGTGGGAGGCAACCAGTTGATGTCTCTCTCTCACATCGACATTTCTTTCTCTTTCCCTCTTGCTCTCGCTCTCCCCCTTACTCCCCAATCAATAAAGACATATCCTCAGGTGAGGATTTAAAAAAGTTACTTTTCTCTCACATTAAGTACAACTGAAGTAAACACCATATATACTGTATAGGAATTCTCTTTAAAATATTCCAATAAATAAAAAAATGAGGCATAGGGCACAGATTAAACCAATACTACAAAATGGTGATAATTACTGAAGCTGAGTAATCAGTACATAGAATTCATTAAGTTATCTTCTATATAGGCGGAATGTTTTTGTAGTACAATTTTTAAAATTAGAATTAGAAAAAAACTAGTAAATGAAAAATACACATGAAATTAAACTACTCAACCACAGCAAAAGGATACAGACATGACTCTTGACATCGTTACGAAGTCCTTTACGAACAAATTCATAAGCTTCTTCTTTTTTTCCTAAACAGTTCAATGTTAAGCCTTTCATAGCCAAAGTCTCTGAAAAATATTTTTAATTTCTATTTACACATGAAAGATTCAAATTATCTTAGCGTTATTTTAACATTTGAGATCTGTCATGCTTATATTATTCATCTTTTTAATCCCATAGTTAGAGTTTCTCTCCAAAAACCTTTTAAATATTTGCCTATAGTTTAGCCCAAGTTCTTTTCTGAAATTCCTCAGGCTGGGACTAAGTTGCTGAAATGCTTTCTGCTCTATAGAAGACTCTTTTTAAAGGAGGCTGAGGTTATTCTGCTGAGAAAAGGTAACACAGTAGGCACCTGAATCATGTTGCGTTAAATCTACCCCATCAGTCCATACCTTTCACCAGAGATCAATTCTAATCAAGACTCAAATCTTATTTACACCCCACACCACAAAACAATCTACCTTAACAGAAACATACACAATTTAAAAATAACCTTACTCAATATTGGAACAGACTGCATTTTTTGGCAAGTTTATTCCAACTAATCCTAACTAGGCTAATTAATATCATTTTGCATTTCAAGGATACGATACTCTACTACAGAAGCAGCAACCCAAAAACATGTTCAAGGCAGTTAATGAAAGATGGTTTAGAACAAAATAACTCTCTGAATCATCCACAAGAAATGATCCACAAGGGAATTAGACATGAACAATTATTTTCAAGTTGATCTCTGAGGATTCTGGTTTCTAGAACATGGTAATACAGCAATCCAAACCCCTATAACCAAACATTTTCTTTTATCTGTTGATACATAAAGAACTTCCCCACATGATTCCATTTAGATAATGGTTCCATAGTGAAAAAGCTTGAAAACAAGCTTTAAATTTCTAAAATTTATGAAATGAACACTTCTTCCCATTTCCTTCAAAGAATGTTTTCAATGTTATTAGAGAGCTGAGCCAGGTCAGCATATTTTCCCAGTAAAACAGTATCAAGAATTACCCAAGTCTAATATTCAGAAACCCCAGTCAGCTATGCTTTGCTCTAGGATCGTAATTTGCATACCTAACCTAATCCACCCTTTTAACAAACAGCGGTCAACAGTGAAAAAGAATGAGACAAGCAAATATAGACTTATTAATACCTGTGCTAAAAAAAAAACAAAACCCTCAAGATAAACAATCTAATGATAAATCAGTAGTGTCATATTTATATATAAAGGTCAGCAAATATATAAAAGATGTCCACCAAAGAATAAAATACGTTTGACTGTATCTTCATACTACTTCTACATTACAAATACTGTCCTAATTTTATACAAAGGAAATCAAAGAATAAACTTCTAGTCAAAGTAGATGAAATCAGGTCCATGAAAATACTGGTATATACTCCAACTGTTCTCCAACTGACCAACCAACCACTTCTCATTTAGTAAGTAAGGACTATACATATATACTTAAAAACATAATAGGAGTAAAATAACCTAGAATAAGACTGGTATGAGACATAACTAAGAAATGTTAAATATTTATATACTCTACTAGAGAGCTACAAGGCCATGGAATCTGGGAAGTATTCTTTCACTGTTAGGAATCCTATCTGTCTGATTTCAGAATTAGATTTCTCCAAAGCATTCTCTCACAGGTAAACAATACCTCCATGTTCAGCAAATTTTGGATTCGAAAGAATCATCTTGCAAAACTTGAGGCCATTTTTGTATTGCTTCTGTTCATAACATTTCTGTGAAGAAATACAAACAAAAATTATTTTATAAACTGAATATACATGGAGTGACTTTTCATAGCAAAATATAAAATCTAAATTCAAGATCCAAAATGAAGTCTAAAAAATGAAATGGGAAGATTTTATGTCAATTCATATCTAATTCCTCGTCAAATTAATCTAGTATATAAGTATTTTCCTTTTACAGAAGATAGAGGAAAAAAACACTTAATAAGCAGAATTTAATTGTCAATCAACACTGCTACAGCTTTTTAACCTTCAAAATCCAAAAGCAAAAACATATGTGATAACAACAAAGAAAAATACTAGAAACTGCATTAAAAGCCTTTGCTACTTCAAGAATGGAACCAAGAAATACACAAAATACTGTCCTTTTTAGAGCGACCTATGTGTCTCTACAAAACTTGTTATAACTCATATTAATCCCTAGAGTAGGTGTCATTACCTCCACCATATGGATATATGTTCATATATATATTTTTTTTAAATTAGAATTAGAAAAAAACTAATGTATTGTAGATACATTACATGTTCATAAAATGTATTTATAAGTGACTCAGCTTGGTTGCAAACTCTGGTGTGACTCCAAAGATTATGGTCTTTCCATCACTAGTTTAATGCAACTGTTAAGCAACCTCTTTATTCCTAAACGCCATCAGCTAGGCTAAGTAATCAGTGACTGTCCTCCACAATCACTGATTATATAAGAACACCTCATCTGCCTTCACTTATATTCTTACTTACATTGTTCTGGTTGTGTCCCCCCTCACTCCCCCACCCCCCGTTTTAAAGGAGTCACTATTTGTTAATGGACTCGATTACAAAAATAACCACTGTAGATACCTCAGTTCATCCTTCTAATAGGCCTGTTGATCTGGTCTTCCCTTTTACCAACATACCCACCTTCTACAAAATGGGTGGTCTGTTTCTTCATTCTATGGCATGGAAAAAATAATTTGAAGGGCCACAGGAAAATGTTGGCTTCTTTGAAGCATTTTCCAACAGTATAGATCTCATGAATCAGATCCTACATGCAGGTGGTGCCACGTTTACCAACAGATTGAGCAATCAATGTGTTATCTGTCAGGGCAATTTGTTTTTTTATTGATGCATTATGATTGTTCTTTCTAGTACTTACGCCCAGCTTATTCCCAACTTAGAGCCTGTGCAATTCTACCTGCAATCTTCCTGAGGCTAATTTCTCAGATTTTCTTTGGGCTAATTCCTTATGATAGTGTCAGACATCACCTACCTGATCACTCTATCTAATAGTGACAGCCTCCTTCTCCCTCCCCCACTAACAAACATATTTATCGTATTTATTTTCTACACAGCACTATCATTTCCTGAAATTCCCATTTTTGTGATTGCTTATTTAGTATCTTCCCCACCATACTGAAGGCTCCTTGAGAACAGGTATCTTGCCTATTTTAAACACTCCTGCATCTTTAAGTTCTAACAAATAAAACTGCTCAATAAAAACAGCCTACTAAGCTCAAAGAAAAACAGTAGCAGCAGAGGAGGAAGGAATGCTTAATCCTTGCAGCAGGAGTGGGATGTGGAGAGAATTAGAAAAGTGTTATTTTAAAAAATATGTTTATATTGAGGCTTCCTAATTGCCTCTGGGGAAGGAAACAGTGGTTGGGAGACAAGAATAGGACAGAACAGGTCAGGAGAAAAATCTAAATTTTGAACCATGCAAATATATTACTATTCCAAAAATATTTTAAAGTAAAAATTAAAACATCTGAGTTTGACTATTGGAGTTCTCCTCATAAATGACAAGAACAAAAAAGAAGCAGAAGAACCTACTGGGGAAGAGGAAAAGAAACGTTTGTTTTTTCTGACTTACCAAGTGGTCTCAAAAGTAATAATAATCATACTACCAATAACAGTAAAAATAATAGTTAACACTTATTGGAACCATTTCCTATGTGCCAGGCACTGTTCTCATTTAATCTTTATTTAAATCCCAGGAAAGCCTATGAGATGCATGTTATCTCCATTCTAGGTGGAGCAACTGAGGCACATAGTTAAATTGAATTTTCATGGCCAGTTTCAGAGCCTCGGTGCAAACCAAGGTAGTCTATCTCTACTACTCAAGTTAAAGAAAAAGCCTTAAGTTCAGTGAGGAATATACACTTAGAACAAAAGACAGATTCTAGTTTTCAACTTTACTACTAACCAGACAGAGTACCATAGACACTTAGTCATCTACTGTTCCTGGATTTGATTTTCTCAACCTCAAAACAAGGTAAGAAAGAGAGCTCGAAAATTCAACAAAATGTAATGCCAAGACCCAGTATGAGTATTAAGGTAGGCAGGCATAAGCCATGCAGAATTGTAATAAGCTGGCTGGTGAATCTGTATGGGTGTGTTTATGTGCACTGATAATTAATAAAAATTTACTGTTGGTGACAAAACACCTTGGTCCACTAATCAAACTTAAAAATAATTTTATTATAGAGGCTTTAATTTGCCATGCAATTTGTTGCAGCAAAAAATTTACCCACATTTAGTGCAATTGTGAGATGGGGAAATCATTCACTTTTGCAGCATCCTCCTAAATTCATACCTTATAATAAACATCACACAAAGATAAGAAAATGTTTACCATTTCCCAATTTATTGGGGAATAAAGTTAACTCAGCAGCAGCTTTAACTTTTCTGTAACTAGAGCATAATAAGTCATGGAATTGTTTTTGTTATTCTACTGATAACATGATTTGAACTACAAGTATTCATATATAGAAAAAGCGTTGTCATTTTTTAGGTATAATGGCAAATGTCCTGAAATCTAACTAACACATTATAGATGATTTTTCATTAACATATTTTGATTCCCTACAAATAAAAAAAAAAATCCATCTGAAAAGGGCACTTCTCCAATTCCATGTGAAAAGTATAAATGTATGAGGAAAAACAAAATTAAAATTTCAAAAAAGTATATACTACAAAGCCAAGTGGAGAAATCTGCCACAGTGAATTATTACAATTTTTTGCTTTTACACTTGTCTTTCATTATTTACTCAACACTAAGCACCATTTAGAATTAAAGCAAAATTTTTATCCCATCTATTATTTTTGTAACCTTTTTAACATTCTGACGGGGCAAAAAAGGGGAAGGGTCGTCAAGGAACAAGTATAAAGAACCCGTGGACAAAGCCAAGGTGGAGGTAGGATTGAGAGAGGGAGGTAGGGGTGGGTGGGGCGGGGGAGAGCTGTGGGGGGAAAACCGGGATAACCGTAGTTGAACAACAATAAAAAAAAATTCTGAGTACTAAGCGTCAAGTTTCTATTAGCTCAAAACAGAACAGCTATTATGAATTTTCATCTGCCACTGATAACACTTAAAACATTCTAAACTCAGTGTTTTTAGTAAATGTAAGTAATACTTAACAGTCACATAACTCAAGTTCTAAATAATAAATTCACCCTTAAAATCTAAACGCTTATGTTCAGATGAAAGAACAAACTAGGAAAAAACAGCTATTTACGATATTAGTTTAAAATCCACGGTCCCCAGTGTAATATAATATATTGAGAAAATCAAAGGCATGCTGCCTCTCCTCTCGGGAAGAATGAGAACCTGGAAAACCGTGAAGGCACCTGGGACGCTGGCCCCCAACCTACAGAAAACACACTTCTCTGCGGGCCAGCAGTCCTCACCTCGGGCCACTATTCAGGTCACCGCTCACAAAGTAAATGCTTCCCTCAAGAGCAAAACCAGCCAGCCCGCAAAACTTTTATTCACTTCCTCAAGGCAAGGACTTGTGTAAGTTAAAAGAAGAGTCACGTTCGCCTTTATAATTTAGAACTGCAGTTCATGTCACCTTTTCACCTCCCAAAGATAAGCACACCAAAACCAGGCAGTAACCCCCAACAAAAAACCTGGCCTCACAGCGCTCCCTAATTTTGCCCTGGCCAGTTCATATCCGAGCTCCCCTCCACTACAGGATCGCTCCGGCTGTAAGGGGTATCGGGGCGCGCTGTTCAACAGATTTAACACATAGCAGGGAATGAACACCTTGCCAAAGAGAGGCTGGCAAAAGAAACCTATTGGTGAGGACAGGAGGAGGAGGTGGCGGGTCCGGCCGCAAGGCTCCGCAGAGGACACTGATGCCTCTACCTGGCCGACGCACCCTTGCCCAGAGTGACAGCGGAGAGCGACATGAAGTTTCTGGAAGGAGCGCTGCAGTACCGAGGCAAGCCGCCACAGAGGGAGGAGGCGCGCGGAGGAGGCCCGGGTGGCCGGGGACGCGGGCCGCCTAGGGGGCCGGCAGAGGCGGGGAGTCAGGTTTTGAGGGCTCGGAGGTAAACAAAGAACAGAACAGGGAGCCCCCGCCGGCCCGCGCAGGCGCCGCCGCTTGACCGCTAGTCTCGCCGAGCCCGGGGCTCCGGGGAAGCGAAAGCGCGGCCTCCCGCCACTCACCAAGATGCGTTTGAAGAGGTTGCTCTCCTTCGGAGGCAGCTGCACGTTCGGCATTGCGGCGGGCAGGGTTGGGGGAGTGAGGAGGGGAAGGCTGGGTGACTTGGAGCTCCGTTCTGCGGGTGTGAGCACCAGGAAGAATCGCTGCCAAGAGTCGGGTGCGTGCGATGAGTCAGTTCATGGGCCTACAGTTCAGGCTGGGCAAACTCGGCAGGACTTTTGCGTAGGGCTGGCAATGGAAAACGAACGCGGTCTCATCAAGACACCTTCAGCTCCAGCCCTGGCTTGGGGCAAGCAGCAGCTGCTCCACCTCTCTGCAAGATGGCAGCCAGGGCCCGCCCCCCTGGAGCGGGGCGTTGTGCGCCTGCGCTGGGCGCCTGGCGGCGGGGGCCTGCGGGGAGCTGGTGAGGTAGGGAGAACAGTGTTAGGGGCAAGGAGTTGGCAGGTGGTCGCTGTAGTCTTCAGGACCTCGACGCCCGTTGGGGTTCATGCACCTAGCCCTTTATAAGTCGCCTGTATTTTGCTTTTATTGTTAGTGTCGTGGCCCAAGATAATATTAGTTATATCGGAGTTAGACTTTGTGGATTTCTCTCCGCTCAGGAACTTAAAATAGTGCTCGAATTCAAATTCCTGATGTAGGATGAAGTTGTGCAGACAAACGACGTATTCACAATGTCCGTGAGGTCACTGGGCAGACCTTGACATGAGCGTATGTGAAAGCACGTTTCAAATGTCTCACTAAAAGTATTCCCAGCCCTGGCTGGTGTGACTTCGTGGATTGAGTGCCCGCCTACGAAACAATGGGTCACAGTTTGGATTCCCAGACTAGCGCACTTGCCCGGGTTGCTGCCCAGGTCCCCAGTAGGGGGTGCGCTAGAGGCGACCACACAGTGATGTACAATTTAAAAACAAAGTAAACCACACATTGATGTTTCTCTCCATCGTTTTCTCCCTCCCTTCCCCTCTCTAAAAATAAATAAATTAAATATGGGGCCACTGATTCCCCAAGTCTATGTACTCTTTCTTCTCGGATGGTTCTCCTTCATATAAGACAGTAAGGAGAGAAACAAGATTCTAGCCCAGGATCTTCCAACTTCCAACTCTGGGACACTTTCTACCATACACAGAAGGTAGAATATCGCCAAAACAAAAAGAAAGCAGAAAAAGGTAAAATAGTGACAGAACATATGTGAGTCTACATAGATATGGATATGTATCACTGACAAAAATAACCATACATACAATGTAGGTCTAGTATTAAGGACTATGTGACCAGTGTGGTTCAGTTGGTTGGGCACCCTCCTGCAAAGCAAAACAGGTTGCTGGTTCAATTCCCACCAGGGCAAGAGCCTGGGTTGCAGGTTCTATTCCTGGTTGGGAGTGTGTGAGAGGCAACTTGATTGATGTTTCTCTCTCACACGAATGTTTCTCTCCCTCTTTTTCTCCCACCCTCCCCCTCTCTCTAAAAATAAATATTTTTAGAGGAATATGTAAATATTAGGTACACAAACTTATTTATACATGTGCTGGATATTGTACATGTCTGTCAGGCTACAGGGTAATCGATGTATAATTGCATTAAATGGGCTGTAATCAGGGCTAGGTTGCAGCTTATTTAATTTTTTTCCCCTCTAGCCTTGTTTGAGATGGGAGAGGTTAGTGTTCTAGGAACCCATCTGTATCAGTGTACTAGCTGGCATTGTTGTGAGAGGCTGTGTTTGGCTCCAGTGAATTTTTTTGAAGACACTTTCAATGAGTTTGCCCATTTCATGACAGCTGATTTACAAGTGCACTTGCCCATACCGTGCTGAGTGTTAAGCAGTTTTTGACCAAAAAAAGGCATGACCTCCATGTCCCACCCTCCCTATTTACCTGATCTTGCCCTGAGCAACCTTTTTTTGTTTGTTTGTTTCTCCAGATGAAAAAAGTCTTCAAAGGAAACATTTTGCAGTTGTGGTACATGTGAAACAAAAACAAAAACAAAAACGGGAGAAGCACTAAAAGGCATCAAAATCGAGGAATTCAAAAACTGTTTTGAGCAGTGGGAAAAATGTCTTGAAAGGTGTATTGCATCAAATGGAGAGTACTTTGAAGGTGACAAGTTTAAACATGTAAGAATAAATACACAATTTTTTATAAATAAATTCTGGGGATTTGGGGAAGGTCCCCCCTTGTATATTTACACACAGTATAGATTACATTGTATTCCTCAATTTAGACCACTTTGTATCTAAGTTGGAAAACACTTTATAAAGAAAAAAATTTTTTTAACTTTAATGCTTATTATGGTTGTTTGAAAACTACTTACAAAGAGCACTTGAAGGAGAAAACAATGGAAAATAAAAATTATTGAAATAAAGGTTTGAGAATGTACAATTTAAAACCAAAGTAAGTTATTTAAGAAAAATATTTATGGTGATAATGGAATAGAAATTTAGGGTGGTAGAAGAGATGAAATTACAAGAAGTTGTAAGAGACAACACTAAATGATCTTGTTAACAAACCTGACTTCAAGCAAGGATAGTACTAGCTTAGAGGGAGTTTCCAAGATTATTCTTTGAACTCTTTGCCTTTTTTTTTTTTTAAAGAGTAAAAGGAGGGTTGTTGGTTGACCTCTTAAATATCTTGACAGAAAAATATTTGAGTGATCTAGTTTCAATAATGCCAGCAGGTGGCGCATTTTATCTTTTTTTTTCTAAGCTAAGAAAAATTTGAAAACCAGTATAAATATAAAAGAAATGCTGCCTTTTTATCCTTTGTATTCTGCTTATCTCAGGGAAAATAGTAATAATATAAAGAAAATAATCTTTGTTTTGCTATTTCCTTTCCACCTTAGCGTTAGCTTGAAATTTGTATTAAATTGCTAAATAATTTCTGATTTCATTTTTTTCTATAGTAAAATAAACCTGATCGAAATCCCAAGCTGTTGCAAATCTTTACATTGTGGGATTGTAACCGAATACAAGTCCGGCTACCTGCCACTGCAAAAGTCTATACTCAAGAGGAAGGTGCAAATGTAAAGGAAAGTGGTTTATTTGCAGATGTTGGTCATCTGGAAGATGGGGGACTCATGTCTCAAAACCTTTCTCCTGAAAAATGGGGACTCATGTCACAAAGCCCATCTCTACCTCTCATTGGAGGCAGAGGTTTTCATAAGGAGGGAGAAAGGAACAGAACAAGGAGATCAAGGGAGTGGGGTGTGTTGCAAAGTTCTCTACATGCAGACAAGCACAGTCCATTCCAATAAGACAAGTGATTGTCAAGTGCATCATCCTCGTTTAGTCATCCTGGCTTCACGTCATCCTGGCTTCATGGTTGAAGGCCAGCAAATCTCTCAAAGCTGGGATGCCTGAAGGAAGGTCTTTTGATATCAGTTCCTAGGATTCTTATGCAAACATGCTGTTCATCTATAAACTACATGTTAGTCAAGTGTCAGCACTTACAGAAACATCTCAAAAGAATGGTTGGGTGGGTTACAATTTCCCACTGTAACAATTTTCCACTGTTACAGAGTGCCTCAAGATGCAGTCAAGAGCCTAAACTCCAGGGAACCAGAAAGTCAAGTGCACCTGCACAGTGTGCTATGAGCCATATCCCCAGTGTACTATGGTTTGTGTGTGTGATTTTATGTTGCTTTCAGTGCCTTTGAAAATTTCCCAAAGGTTTCAACTCAGCCTGGAACAGCCTTTATACCTGCTCTTGTCTGGTTCCCACAAAAATGCCTGGAGCTGAGGAAGCCCTGGTGCTCTGCTTACCTTATGGAAAGACCTGTGGGTAAAAAAATGGGTTGTCTGGGAAGTAACCGCTCAGGGTGATCTGATCATAAAGTCCTCACTGGGCAGGTAGTCACACCCCAGGCATAAAACTTCTTTAGTAAGAGGTTTATTTTTGTCTGTAGTAAGCCCTGTCCATTGTTTCTATGCACCTAGGTTAACACACCTTTGAATCATCTCCTCAGGAGAACACATAATTTTGTCAACTATCCTGTAGTCCAACCCCACCTTTGTGTACTTCCCTCCTTAATTTCAAGTGCATGAAAGAAGCTGTAAAACTGTATTCTTGGGAGCATTGGAGATCTCACTCCCCAACATCTGTCGTCAGTTTGACCCAAATAAACTTGATAAAAAATCTCTACAGCAGCTATTTTTTTTTTTTAATTTTGAGAGTACATTCATGAAATCTGGGGACAGTAAAACAAGTAATGTCTTAAGATAGAGGCACCAAGAGAGAGTCTAGGCAAAGCTGCTTTGGCTCTCTAGAGATGTTATAGGTAAAAAAAAAAAAAAAAAAAAAAAAAAACCACACACACACACACAAAAAAACGAGCATAGGCAGGGCTGCTTTGACTCACTGGTAAGTCAAAGAAAAGGGAGCCTTGGAGACAGGTCCCAGGGGTTAGCCCAGGATGAGCTACTGCTGCCAATTGCTCCCCTGGTTCCAAATCTTATGGGGACCCTTAAAGTTTAGGAAATGCTTGCCTTTGAGAGAAGAAAGGCACATGCACGCTCCCTGGAAGGACAGTGTCCTACAGAAGCGATTTTCAAGAGGTATGCCACAAGAATTTTTAAAATGTTCTGCCCCTGACTATTTAATCCGGGCACTGACCTCTTTTCCCTTAGATTGTCAAATAAGAAAATGACAGCCCAGTGTGAATTATAATGTTTTTTGGTGTATGTGGAATTTTAGTAATTATGTCTGCCATGAAATGAAAAAGGTTGAAAATTGCTGCTCTACAGCCCTAAATGGATGCTTTATTGATGTGGAACCCCTGCAGAAGGATACAAATCAACCTTCTGTTACTACTGCAGGCACGAGTGTCCTCGAAATCTTTAAAATGAACTGGAGGTTCTCTGAGAGTGGAAAATCTGTGAAAATCCCCATTCTCTACCCCTTTGTGTTTGGGGCTGAGTTTGCTTTAAATGGATCTGAGAAACAGCTCCACCTATTTTGTTGTTTTAGCTTGCTTCCCGTTGGAGAAGGGGGACAGAGGTCATTTAGTTTCACAAAGGGATATCAAATTGTCAGTGCCCATTACAATTTCATTCAACGACCACAAAAAAACTATAGTTGAGTTTAACGTGAGAAATATTTCACACTTTGTAGCTCTTGTTTGCAATTTAATCAAATGCTATTTTTTTATTAAATCAAATTTTAAAATATTTGTTCAATTTTTTTATCCTGTAATAAAAAAGACTTTAGAAGTGTGGTTTTTTTTTTTTTTTTTCAGTTCAAGAAAAAAGTTCCACATCAATACATGGTTTTTATTCCATCTTTAAAATGTCGCAAATAGCCCTGGTCAGTGTGGCTCAATTGATTGGGTGTTGTCCTGCAAACCAAAAGATCGTGAGTTCAATTCCCGGTCGGGACACATGCCTAGGTTGCATGTTCAGTCCCTGGAGGAAGCATGTATGAAAGGCAACCAGTTGATGTTTCTCTCTCACATTAATGTTTCTTTCTCTCTCTTTCTCCCTCCCTTCCACTCCAAAATCAATAAGCATGCCCTCAGGTGAAGATAAAAAAAGATATATATGAAGAATCACTCAGCATCTTAATGTTTCTATAGCTGAACAACTTAGATCTTATTCATTAGCCAGCTGAACTTTTCCTCTTTCAGAAAGGTAGTTACAATCCAAAATTTTCTGATATCCCTGTTTTTAATTGCTGTGGCTTGTTGAATCAAAGCAGCTGAATTTGATACAAGTTCAATGTCGTTTCCTTCAAGAATTAACTGATTTTCTGGGCTTGAGATACTGAACAAGCAATGTCTGACCTCATCCAAACCCAGCAGATGTATTTTTCACTCAAGAAATTTCTGACTTCAATCAGGGAACTATTCTTCTGAATAACAACGTTGATGGGGAAGTGAGCATACACAGACCTCATCTTGTAATGGTGCCCAGTGTAACACCCTTGATCATGTTCTGTGCATGACTGCAGATAGTGCAAATAGCGACCACTTCCTTTCTATTTCCCCACCATTTGTCACCCCAGAGCTTCTTTTTCTTTCCCAGAAGACTGAGTTCTATAGTGATGTGATTGAAGTCCTTCTGCAAGGGTGCCTCTGGGGCCCTTTGCAATAACTACGCTTCCTTTCAGAGTGATGTCAACACTTTCCGGAATGTCTTTAACAGTCTGATTGCTGAGGGTGGTCTTCGTCCTTGCAGTAGATGAGGCAAAAAGATCTAGAAAAAGTTATTTAACTTCATAAAATGATTTTATAAGAATAACTTACATAAGTCTTTTTCAAATATTAAAGAATAAATTTTCTTTCATAGCTTTCTTGTTCACAATAACACTCATTACAAAACTTCAGGAAATCCAGAATACTATAAAGAGGAAAATAAATATTACCTATAATTCAGCCAGTCTTTTAAATATACATGCATTACATATGGCTTTAAAAATGGAAAAGTTTGCTGAATTTTTTTAATGTTCTCTTTCACTAATATACATTGTGGATATCTTTGCATATTAATAAATATATCACACTATTTCCTAAAAACATAGAGGAGGAAGTGGTATTTATAGTACCAAACATAAATGTTGTTAGGGATTTTTTTTAAATTGAGGAACAACATACATAAAGTTCATAAAGTTTTGTTTATATCTCAACAAATTTTTATATATGTATCTTAGTCTGCTTGGGTTGCCATAACACAATATCATAGATTTGGGTACCTCAAACAACAGAAATTTATTTCTTGCAGTTTGGGAGGCTGGAAAATGCAAGATCAAGGTGCTGGCAAGGTATGTCTCTCTCTTCTTTTTATTTTTAAGATTTTTTTTATTTTCCAGAGAGCAGAAAGGAGGGGGAAAGAGAGGAAGAGATGCATTGATGTGTGAGAGAAACATCAATTGGTTGCCTCTCACACACCCCCAATTAGGGACCTGGCCTGAAACCCAGGCATGTGCCCTGATAAGGAATCAACCTGGCAACTTTTCGGTTCACAGTGGCACTCAATCCACTAAACCACACCACGCAGGGCTGGCAAGGTATGTTTCATTCTGAAGCCTCTTCTCTTGGCCTGTAGTTAGGTGCCATCTTGCTGTGTGTTCACATGACCTCTTTGTGCTTGGGGTGGGGGGAGGACAGAGAGAGACCAAAAAAGCTCTTTGGTGTTTCTTCTTATAAGGGCATTAATCCTATCAGATCAGGGATTCACCTTTATGACCTCATTTATCCTTAATTTTATATCCACTACAGTCACATTGAGGTTAGCTTCAATATATTGAATTTGGCAGGGGAGAGGGCCACAATTCAGTCCATAGCAGTAAGGAGAATAAAGCTTTATATATAATAATTTGTATATCTACACACACATCAAAATAAAGAAACAAAGGATTTTGTTGTGCAATTTAGCAGACTGACTTGTAAGGTCTTTTGGAATTTGTTTCTTCCTTGAACATGAGCTTCATGTGGGCAAAGATTTTTGTTTTTTCTATTCATTGCTGGATTTTCATGTCTAGAACAGTGAGGAGCACATAACTGGTGTTCAATATTTCCTGAATTATTGACGGTTTCTTTTTTTTCCCCTTCCTTTTCTTTCTTTCTTTCTTTTTTTTTTTTTGGAGAAGGGAGCTTAGGAGCCACAGATCATTAAGGCAGATTAATTGCCTTGATTGAATCTCTGCTTTATCACTTACTAGTAGTTCTTTTACCTTGGGCAAGTTACTACTTAAGGTCTCGGTGCCTTATTTTTCACTTATGAAAAATGGGTATTCTAAGGTGTTTGTAGGGATCAAATGAATTAATAGGTTTGAACCATGTAGAATAGTATCTAACACGCAGATAGAAGTAGATAACTTTAAGTAGGTAATAAAAGATATTTACCTTTATGGCCAATTCTCCTTCTTGTATGTACGGCCATAACCTAAGAAAATATCCTGGAAAGTTGGTAATATGGGATTCTTTTTGCCTCTGCTTTTCAGGAAGATATATTGAGGCATAGAGGTCAAATGACTTCTAAATGTGGTTCCTAAAGGCTGTCTCCCACTTCAATATTTAAAGTAAGGCAGTATGTTTACATTCCCCTGGAATTATCATTTGGATTTTTAAATTGTTTACTTAATCGGTCATTCACAAGCTATGAATCTAAGTTGAGCCTCTAAATTCTGTATGTGCATGCAACATCTATAAAATCACTAATTTGTCAATATCTATAGTCTATACTTTGGATCCCGTTATGGCTTTTAAAAATACAAATTTATACACTCATTTAGTCATTAGGTATTTTCTCAGGCAACGGAAGCTGAAAGTACAGGTATTAACATGCAGAATCCCCTAAATTTTTGAATGATGAAAAGGGGAAGCCTCATAAAAGAAATTAAGGAATCACTACTTTAGTGGTTCCATATATAAGGAAATTCTTATAACAACACATTAATGTATTGTAAATCTTGATCTCTTCATCAAAACGGTAGATTATATACCCTTCTGGTCCCAAGATTATAGCCAGTGGGATAGGAAGGTCACCAAGAATAATTGGGACGTTGCCAAGGACTTGTTTTAAAGTGTTTTCAAGTCTGACGAACTCTGGCACCTAGAAAAAAATTAAAAATGAACACTACAAAATCTCCTTCATGGGTTTGCCTGACCCTGAAAGCCAAAGCTTCACCTTTGGCCCAGGGGATCGGGGCGGGGCGCCTATCAGGAGGTAAACCACAACTCCCAGGATTCCTGGGCGGATGCTACTGGGAGTGGCAGTACTTTCTGCTCGCTCGGCCCAAGGCCTGGCGCCCCCGGCCCTGCACGCCTCCTCCGGCGTCCCTTGGAACGCAACCCACGCCCTGGGCTCCTGCTCCGAGTGAGTACGCCGCGTGGTCGCCTCAGGGGAATTTTTCTAGCTTTGTTAATTTTTCTCTTTGTCGTTGTCATTTTTCTCTTTTGTTTCCTCCGTTATCTCATTGTTTTAATGCACGCCCAAGCACTACTCCTTCGGAAAAGTGTGGAGACAGAGCTGGAGAGGGGAAATCAAGTATTAACCCGGAAGAAGTGATACAGGAAGTGAAAGTGATTCCCTGCCGCTCAGGCTGGCCCATAGCTGATTACAGAAGGTTCCGGCTTCACTGAGAAAGCTGATATCCTTTTCATTTTAGGTATTCACAATTCGTTTCTCTTTCATGATCTTAAAAAGTCTTTTTTCTTTCTCCAGTTTATACTCCATGTTCCCTCCATATGGTATCACGCCATATACCTTGTTACACAGTTTGGCTTATACGTGCTGCTGTTGCTCGCCCAGGTTTAATATCACGTCTGTTATACTGACGCTGAGAATTGTTCCAAGAGTATCAAAGTAATCCTGTTAACTGTGGTGGGTGGTGGAGAAAACTTGCTGTTCTCAGGTATAATCCTAAAGAGTAAACGCCTTGAGTTTTTTTTCCCCGTTAACATGTGAGGTTCATGACCTTGATAATTACTCTTCCTACTATGGTTCCTAAAATGAAAATCTTAGCTAGAAGTGTGCTGACAAAAATGTTTACCGTACCTTAATTCTGTTCTTTTATAAGTGGACACACCTCCTCTGATGTGCTTGAGACTAGATGTAGAGACATAAAGAAGCTACGGCTGGAGGACTGTAACATTTGTTGTTATAGGGCATAAATGTATCCTTCTACAGTCCTTTTCTGTATGTGGCTCAGTATGTTAAAGTTAATTAATAGAACCCTGCAAACTTTTAATATTTTAGAGACTATTCTCAATATTTTATTTCCTAGGTGATACTATAATGATATATGTTAATAGACTTGTAATGATCAAATGAGCTAAAATATGAATGCACCTCCTAGTATAGGAATACCATAGACTATAAAGGTTGATTTAGATGCATTTTGACCTTTATTTCAACTTTGAACCACAGGATTTTAGGGGCAAAGTGTTTTTCTTAGAACCCTTTCTTAATAAAACAATTGTGTGCTTTTGTTAGCTCTTGATTATCTCTGTTAGGGGGAGAACAAATAATTATTGTACACAGCCAATTTCATCTAACCTGTAATTTTTAAGTAATTTTTTTCTTGATTGTAAAAGTAATACATGCTATAAATATAGAAGACTTGTAAAACACTAAAAAGTAGAAAAAACAGAAAGCAAGCAAGTGGTATCCATAAATCTGCAACTAGGAATAATCTTAATATTTTGATAGATCTACTTTTTAGTTTTCTTTTTAAAAAATTCTGTACCTTTTTCACATGTATATCATATACTCTGGAAAAATTTTGAAAACATAATTGAGATTATATTGTTTTGTATAGTTGATCCTTGAACACTGTAGGGGCTAGAGGAAACAACTCTCCCAGTCAAAAAAATTCCTATAAAACTTTAAACTTTCCAAAAACTTAGTCACTCTGATTATACTTGTTGAATTGATTCTAGGATCCCCACAAACACCAAAATCCCAGATGCTCAATCCTTGATAAAAAATGGTATAGAACAATGCATATAGTTGGCCCTCTGCCTACACAGATTCCCAACAATGGATTGAAAATGTTCTTTTCAGCTGAAATTAGTTGAATCTATGGACGTGAAGTCAGGGTATACAGAGGGCTGATTATGTATTCATTGAAAAAATTCAAGGTGTAGGTGGATTGGTGTAGTTCATACCTGTGTTGTTTAAGGGTCAACTGTAATTGTTATCATTGCCCTTTTTCTTTTACCAGGCCTTCTAGTTTCTTCTTCTTCTTCCTTCTTCTTCTTCTTCCTTCCTCCTCCTCCCCCTCCCTTCCTCCTCCTCCCCCTCCCCCTCCCTTCCTCCCCTCCCCTCCCCTCCCCCTTCCCCTCCTCTCCTCCTCCTCCTCCTCCTCCTCCTCCTCCTCCTCCTCCTTCTATTTTATGACATTGGTTATGCTATTTCAGTTCTGATATTTTTCCCATTTGCCCCACTCCACACCATGCCCCCTAATCCCTCAGGCAGTCTCTCACCTTGTTAATGTCCATGGGTCAGGCATATAAGTTCTTTGGCTAATCCATTTCCTATACTGTACTTTACATCCCCATAGCTGTTCTGTAACTACCTATTTGTGCTTGTTAATCTTCTCACCTCTTCACCCATTCTTTCCCTCTCCCTCTCCCATCTGGTAACCTTCCAGTAACTAACTTCTTTTCTCCTGCTTTTAAGATTCTTGTTTTATCTTTAACCTTTGGCCTTTTAATAATGACATGTCTTGGAGTGGGCCTCTTTGCATCCATCTTGTTTGGGTCTCTCTGTGCTTCTCATACTTGCATGCCTATTTCCTTCACCAAATTAGAGATGTTTTCTTTATTATTTTTTCAAATAGATTCCCAATTTCTCGCTCGCTCTTCTCTCCTTCTGGCATCTCTATGATGTGAATGTTGGAGTGTTTAAAGTTGTCCCAGAGGGTGCTAACGCTATCCTTGATTTTTTGGATTCTTTTTTCTTCTTCTTGTTCTGATTGGTTGTTTTTTGCTCCCTGTGTTCCAAATCATTGATTTAATTCTTGGCTTCATCCACTCTACTGTTGTTTCCCTGTAAATTGTTGTTTATTTCAATTAGTGTATCCTTCATTTCTGACTAGGTCTTTCTTATGCTGTTGAGGTCCTCACCAAGTTCCTTGAGCATCCTTATAACCAGTGCTTTGGACTCTGCACCTGATAGATTGCTATCCCCATGTTGTTTAGCTCTTTTTCTGGAGGTTTGATCTGTTCTTTCATTTGGGCCATGTTTCTTTGTCTCCTCGTTTTGGCAGCCTCGCTGTATGTTTCTATGTGTTAGGTAGAGCTGCGTTGACTCCCTGTCTTGGTAGTGTGGCCTAGTAGAGTAGGTGTCCTGTAGGGTCCAGTGGCACAGCCGCCCTATCATCCAAGCTGGGTACTCAAGGTGCACCCTTTGTGTGGGCTGAGTGTGCCCTCCTCTTGTAGTTGATCCTCGGTTGCTGTTGGCAGATCAATGGGAGAGACTTACCCAGGCCAGTCAGCTGCAAGGACTGGCTGTGACCACTGACCATAAACCTCCACCCTCCATGGAGGATCAGCTGTGCAGGAGCAGGGTTGTGGTGCTCCAACTTTGTCCATAGCTGTCCACTGGGTGCGTTGGCCCTGGGGTTTCCAGGTGGTGCAGGCCAAGGTTGGGCCCCATCTGTGTTCTGCCCAAGACCACCCTGCCTGAGCTGTAAAACAATCTGAGATGGCTGCTACTTGCACTGGGCTTTGAGATTCCCAGGCAAAGCCAAGCTGTGACTCTAACCTGCCTGCTGCTAGGACTCATTGGAGCCATCTGTTGCCTGTTTTATAGAATTTAGGAACCAAGGCCAGCCATTTTTAATGGAAAAGCAGCTTGAGTGGGCCCATAAATTGGGTGGGGTAGCGCCTCTGTGGATCTCCAAGGAGGGTCACACAGCGTTAGCTAGGTTGATGGCGTCTCAGATATGGCATCAGCCTACTTCTTATGTGTGGGGAGGGCTCAGCCAAGAGACAATGGCATCTGCTCACCTCAATGCCAGATACTTCAGTTCCTCCCTGTGTACCACTGGTGCCCTTCAAGCCACCACCCCGGTGCTGGAGCTTAGAGGGAGCGAGTCTGAGTAGGTAAGTCCTTGTGTGGGTTCCCCAAGAGGAACTGCTTAAAGCTCTAGCAAGCTCATCCACAAACTCAAATCCCTGGTGGTTTTTGCAGCCAGAAGATGTGGGGACTTATCTTCCTGGCACAGGAATCCTGGATTAGGGGGCCTGGTGAGGGTCTGTGACTCCATGCTCCAGAGATATCCCTCCCACATTTTTATCCAGGTGGGTGTGGGACCAGCCTGTTCTACAACCACGCCCCTTCTACCAGACTGGATGGATGTGGCTTCCTCAATTCGATAGTTATCAGACTTCCTTTCAAGTTGATCTTGCAGTTGTCAGGCTTCATTTAACTTGATTTCTGATGTTCCTGAGTGATGGTTGTTCTATATTTTAGTTGTAATTTTGATGTGGTTGCATCAAGAGGTGAGCAATGTCTACCTACTTTTCCTTCTTGAGCAGAAGCCTAGACCTTCTACTTTCTTAGTTTGTTAACATTTGAAGTTTTCTTCATTTAGGATTTCAGCTAAAAGGGAAGTATCTTTGAAGAATGTTTGTGGAATTGAGAATAAAAAGCATTGAGCTCTTGCCCTGGTCATTGTGGCTCAGTTGGTTTGGTGTCCTCCTGTGTCCCCTAAACTGAAAGATCATGGGTTCGATTCCTGGTCATAGCCCATGCCTAAGTTGTGGGTTTGGTCCCCAGTTGGGGCACTTACAAGAGGCAACTGATTCATGCTTCTTTCTCTTTCTTCCTCCCTTCCCCTCACTCTAAAATCAATAATCATGTCCTTGGGTGAAGATTTTTTAAAAATAAGGAAAGAAAGAAAGAAAAGAAAACACTGAGCTCTGAATAGGGAACCTGCGTTCTAGAATCAGCTCTGTCTCTCTCTGGCTAAGTGAATAATCATGATTAAGTTACTTGACTTCCTTGGACATTTGGATACCTAAAATTAAAGAATGAAACAAGAAAATAATTACTGTTTACATCAGACTTTAAAGATATATGAATATTTTTCATATTCGTATATGAATATTCATATTCATATACATTTAGATGAACCACCTAAAGTTTGCATGATTATGTTACACCTTTTGAGTGCTTGTTCATGCACTCAATTCTAGATTCTGGATACTTTCTAGAAAGTAGCTAATTTAACCCAGTCTATTATATTTATTGGTTACACTTCTACTCATTTCTCTTAATTATGTATGTTGAGTGGGTAAAAAACAGTGCTTTATTCTAGTATTTTCAGAAGTTAGAAGAATTGCTTTCTTTTTTTGAGTTATGGAATTTAGGGACCATGTTGGGAGCTGGCTGAGACAGTGAACTGAGCAGGATTTCTTAAGGCTCCTTCCAGCTTTATTATATCTGTAGAGTTGATTTGTTTCTCCAGATTTTGTTTGTTTATTATATTTCAGATGCTGAGATGAAGCGTCACCTCTGTGTTTGGCTTTTTAGACATCCAGTGCTTTATGGTCACCATCAGTGCCACATCGATCCCCTTTTTCATCAGTTTACACAAATACATCTTGATACAAGGCTATGGGTTTTTAGACAAAACAGGAATCACATTCTCCATCACCTGTTAAGTAAGAATTGGTCCAGGAGATATTGTCATCAAGACACCAGGATGCTTTGGAAACATAAAGCACTGCAGAAATATATGGAGGACCTGAATAAGGAGTACCAAACACTTGATCAGTGTTTGCAGCATATCTCTGTCAATCAAGGGGACCAAAGGTCCTTGAATCAAAGACATGCTGAGTTGGCACCACTTGCAGCCATTTACAAAGAGATTCTGGAGGCTGAACAAGCAATTGAAGAATTAGAATCAATGTGTAAAAGTAAGTAAAAGATGTGTGTGTTCAAGTACAAGATTGATTTTCTAAGTTAAACTTGTATTGAACTCAGTCTTTAAAAAGCCTACAAGTAATAAGCTCTCCACTTAGAAAGAACAGGACTCTGTACTTTGGGTGTTTGAAGTATTTCAGCTACTCAAAAACAACTACTAAGAGACAGAGCTCCTTGTCGTACTTGCCAGGAAGTTTTTAGGGCCTGGGAGACTGAATATTGACCTTTTCAGGAGCTTTAATTTCTTGAACAGACCTTTACTGAGCACTGCCCTACAGTGCTACATACCAGGGACTCAAAAAAACAGTTCCTAACCTATCGAAGGGCTTATGTGGTCTAGGTATTTCATCACCCTTTAGCCACCTCATCCCAATCCACCCCCGCTTCTCTACTAGCCCTAGGTAACCGCTAATGTACTTTCTGTCCCTATAGATTTATTTACTTCAGGCATTTTAAATAAATGGGATCATATAGTATGTTGTCCTTTGTGACTGGATTTTTAAAAAAAATTTATTACTTTTAAAGAAAGAGAGGAAGGAGGGATGAGGAGAGAGAGAAACATTGATTTGTTTTTCCACTTATTTATGCATTCATTGGTTGCTTTTTGTGTGTGCCCTGAGCAGGGATTGAACCCACACCTTGGTATATCAGGACAATACTCTAACCAACTGAGCTACCCAGCCAGGGCTTGTGACTACCTTTTTTCATTCAGCATAATATTCTAAAGGTTCATCTATGTTGTAGCCTATATCCAATCTTCATTTTTTAATCACTGAATTATATTTCATGGTATGGGTTTACCACATTTCATTTACTCATCAGTTGATGGATATTCATTTGTTTTCACATTTTGATTATTATGAACAATGCTGCAATTTTTGTACAAGTTTTTGTGTGGCCATAGATTGCTGAGTTGTGTCATAACTCAATGTTTAACCTCATGAGAAACTGTCAGACTATTTTCCAAAGTGGCTGTACCATTATCATTCCACCATTGTATGAGAGTTCTAATTTCTCCACATCTTTGCCAATCCTTTTCATCTGCCTCTTTCATTTTACTGATCCTAGAATCAGTAGAATCAAAGAGGGTGTGGAGCGGTAGCTCCTCATAATTTTGATTTGACTTTCTATGCCTGATTAATGATATGGAGCATCTTTTCGTGTACCTGTTTGCCATATCTTTGGATAAATGACTGTTCACATCCTTTGCCCACTGGATTATTTGTCTTTTTATTATTGATTTGTAGGAGCTCTTTATATTATAAACACAAGTTCTTCTTTATCAGATATATGATTTGCAGAAATTTTTCTCTCATTCTGTGAATTGTTCTTTGAAACATCACACTTTAAAATTTTGATGATGTCCATATATCTTTTTGTCCTTTTGTTGCTTGTGTTATCAGTGTAATATCTAAGAAACTACTATATAATCTAAGGTTACAAAGGTTTATATCTTTCTTTTCTTCCAAGAGTTTTATATTTTCAGCCCTTACATTTAGCTCTTTTATTTACTTGAGTTAATTTTGTATATCATGTAAGGGGTGTTTATTTTTAATTTTAGTATTTCTTAACATTGCTATTGCCTTAATATTTTTTCTCTTAGGAAAATTTTTCACAATATGCAGAAATTGAAAGAAAAACATGGACTAACCTGGGACTCAACATTTATCCAGATATTGCTATTGGCTTTTAATTGCTAAACTTTCTTCTGTGCTCTATCCTGTTTAATTAAGCCTTAGAAATGTTAAGTAATGTTAAGGCCAGTCATAATTATACCTGTGAAGTCCTGCATGTTCAAAGCCTTATATTTTCCTGTCTTCTATTGGTAGCACCACAAATATCTCACCCACATTTAATGAGGATTATTGTTTACTCTTTTTGCATAATGTCACTCAAATTTGTAATCAATTAATTTTGGGGAAGTTTCTCGTACATAGTACGAGCTTACTGAATGCTTTCTAAATTGAAATGGCATAACTTCTTTCAGCCTTGGTTGTATCATGTGTAAGATTAGATTGGATTAGACTGTTTCTAAACTCTCTTCTAGGTTTACAGTTCTGCTATTCTATAATAATAGTGATACTAGCTACCTTTTCTCTCCAAAAATGGAGGCTTTAGCCATACTAGATTACTTAGTGTACTGGGTAATAGTTGCCACCTTTAGACAAGAAGTGGACACCCCAATTTACTCCAGAACTTTCATTATTTGGGTTTATATTTAGCGAGATCCTTTTTAACCCTGTTTGATTAAGGACTAATTTCTATAATTACTTACAGACATTCAAATCACAAGCTCTTGGGTCAAGATCATGCTTCTTTTCACACTGGATTTTTTTTGGAAGTACTTCACAAATGCTTGTTTATTGATATTCTTTTAACTATTCTAACTTCTTTATAATCCTTTGCCTTCACAACTGAAATAAAGCTGAATAGCCAAATATTAGGTAGCTATTTAAGAGTTTCCCTGTAAGTAAAAAGTTTTACCAATATTACTCTTGCTGGTTTGTAGGTCTAGATAAACAAGATGAAAAGCAGTTACAAGAACTTGCATTGGAAGAGAGGCAAACCATTGCTCAAAAAATCAACATGTTATACAGTAAGGTGTGTTTTAGGAGGTAAACTAATCTTAATACATACTGTTAATATAAATGAATACTGTTCTTGCCAGATTATGCATTGGTGCTCAGAGTACTTTCCAAACACCAGTTTATAAAGTCTTCTCTTAAAATAAGTGATTAGGCTGGGTTTAGTGTTGTAATTTGCTACAGAATGAGATTGAAGCGATTGTAATAGATATCAAAGAAGAAAACATTCCCCCACCTTCTAGCAGCAATATTCTAAAATTCAATCTATTAACTTGCTAGGCAAAGAAACACATACTCACAAAGAAATTTAGTTCACTAAAGGGAAGTATTAGGGATTTTTAAGTCTTAGAAGGAGGGAATGGGTCCTAGTGCTTGTGTTAAGGATTCAAAATTTGCCTTCTGAATAGAATGTAATGAATACAAGGATACAGAGACAGTTGTTTAGCACAAGTATTTATTGTAGCTTCTTCCAACTCAATGGATGATTTGTCTAAAATCACAGATCTGTATATTATCCTCCCCTGTGTCATATTTGCCATCCTCCTGCCTTCAGTCTTCCCCACTCTGGGAATCCAATAGAGGAGCTTTTTCAGGAGTTGAAGGGGATGAGGCGAAGGTATGAGTTATTTTTCTTGCTGCAAATCAAAGATGTCTCACTCCAATATTTTCTCTAATAATCTCTCCCACATATCAGATCATTTCTAGCAGAGATGGAGTATGTATTTTGAAAATCAGCAGTAGGGAGTATATGACACATGAATGCTTTTAGTTTGATTTGAAAGACCTTTTAGTAATAATACAAACAAAATTGCTTCCCTTTTCTTTCTAAGAGGAAAGTTGGTTACTTTATTAGGATGCCCTTTTTTCTTGTCACAGCTAAGAAATTACTTGAGCCTCATCTTGGGAGTCCTCAACACACCCTTTAAACAAAGTAACTCTACTTTGTTTAAACACCAAACAAAGTAGAAGTGAACACCAGGGCACAGCCTGGTGTTTTGCTGTCATTTATGGCAGGAGAGAATATGCAATCATATGTAAACTGAAGACTTTCAAAGCTTTACTTCATTCATTAGATGAAAGAAGCTACTGTTCAGAACTAATAACAGGCAAAATCTGAAGAAAATTGAATGAAACACTGGACTTTGATCTAAATTTCTGTATTTTAGAAAACTAAGATAATCTGATAGTATTGTGGAGAACATCCTGACAAGTAACTTCATTGTTAACATGAATTGATCACTTGTTTTAGATCTAATTAGGTCTCCTCATTAAAGCATTTTATGAGTAGACCTCATTCGGATGCTATATGATTTTTGTTAATTACTGATTTTTAAAAAATATTTGGGCGTCTTTTATCTAAGTTCAAGTAATAATAGTATATATACCTTGGAACATACATATATTAATGCATATAGTTTTTCCATTTTTTAGCTTATCCAGAGTCTAGTGCCAAAGGAGAAATATGACAAAAATGATGTTATTTTAGAGGTGACATCTGGAAGAACTACTGGAGGTCAGTGAAACACATTTATTATAAATCCATGAAATAATCTAAATTTTACTTTGATTTGACACGCTATAATTTTAAAAGTATATTCAATTTACTTTGATTTGACACAGTATAACTTTCAAAATTTCACTTTTGAAGTTGTTACTAATTTCCTAAGGGATCTGTAATTAAGACTGGTTCTGTTGGAAATTTGTGCTGACTAAATATTTTTTGTATTTTCTTTCAGGTGATATTTGCCAACAGTTTACCCGGGAAATATTTGACATGTACCAGAATTATTCAGGGTATAAACACTGGAAATTTGAACTTCTGAATTATACACCTGCTGATTATGGTAGGTATATTTAAGGATTTTCTATAGATGATGCTGAAATTTTTTTTCCTCTAAGCTTCATTATATTTGTGTCCTATTTTTTAATTTTTATTTTGTGTTAAAAAATATTATTTGATGATTTTGATAGAGAGAGAGGAAGGGGGATAGAGAGAGAGAAAGAGGAAAAAAGAGGAGAGGGAAGAGAAAAAGAGAAGAGGATATACATCAACTTCTGTTCCACTCATTCATACACACGTTGGTTGTTTCTTGCATGTGCCCTGACCAGAAATAGAACCCTCAACCTTGGCGTAGTGGTACAATGCTCTAACCAGCTGAGCTACCCAGTGGGGGCTGTCCCATTTTGTTAAAACATTTGATCTGTATTTACTAAATACTGTGACATAGACAGACTCATTAATCACAGTGGCTTACTATAGTAGAGTTTTTAACTGGGAGAAAAGAGTGGGAGAGAGGGAAATATCCTTCTAGGAAGGACTATCTAAATAAGAGAAAATTTCCCTGTGGAGGATATATGTACCTTGCCTGGAAAGCATTGCTTTGTTTTTCAAAGCAAAGATATAGTAAGATTTTTACTCAAAACAGCTTTATCTATTTGGAAGATTTATTAGTTAGACTAAGTGGCTGATACTTTATCAGATTTTTATGGGAATACAGAAAAAGTTAATAATTTCTCTTTATTTTCAAAAAGCTACCATTTAGTTGGGCTGATAAGAACTTATACAACATAAACATTAACAAACAATGCAAGTCTTTAAACTTGCAAGTACATTAACTATGTTAAATCAGATCATCTGATAATTATTTTTCCCATTCTTTTAATCCATCTGGAAGTAGTAGTCTGCTTGGTTACACAGTGATACACTGTAATAGAAAGAGGAGATAATGAATAATAATACACAAACTATAAAAGTGGAAAAAGATAATAATGTAAGTTAAACAATCTAGGGAAATGAAAGCCAGTATATAGTGTGTTGTGTTTGGTATAGATTTTACTTTATTTTTTTACTTTTTTTTAAAATTATGTTTTTTTCTGGATTTTCTTTATTTTTTATTTTTAGAAAAAGGGGAAAGGAGGGAGAAGGAGAGGGAGAGAAACATCAATGTGTGGTTGCCTCTCATGCACCCTGCATGGGGGACCTGGCCCGCAACCCAGGCATGTGCCCTGACTGGGACTTGAACCAATGACCCTTTGGTCCACAGGCTGGCACTCAATCCAGTGAGCTACACCAGCCAAGGCTAAATTATATTTTATTGATTATGCTATTACACTTGTACCAGTTTACCTTCCTTTGCCTCTCTCCTCCCAGTATTCCACATTCCCTCAGATAATCCCCACGCCATTGTTCACGTCAGTGGGTCATGCGGAGAAGTTCTTTGACTACTCCATTTCCTATGCTGTACTTTACATCCCCATGGCTATTCTATAGCTACCTAAATGCACTTCTTAATCCCCTCACCTCTTCACTCATTCCCCCGCATCCCTCTCCCATCTGGCAACCATCAAAATGCCCTCTGTATCCATGATTCTGTCTCTGTTCTCCTTGTTTGCCTAGGGTTTTTTTTTTTTTTTAATTCAATTGTTCACATGTGGATACATATGTATTTATTGCCATTTTATTGTTCCTGTTTTGATATACTTCTTTTTCTTAAATAAGTCTCTTTAACATTTCTTATAATAATATTTTGGTGATGATGATCTCCTTTAGTTTCTCTTGTCTGGGTAGCTTTTTATCTGCCTTTCAATTCTAAATGATAGCTTTGGTGGGTGGAGCAACTTTGGCTGTAAGTCCTGGCTATACATGACTTAGATATTTCTTGCCAATCCCATCTAGCCTGCAAAGTTTCTTTTGAGAAGTTAGCTGACAGTCTTATGAGAAATCCCCTGTAGGTAACTAACTTCTTTCCTCTTGCTGCTTTTAAGATTCTTGTTTTATCTTTAACCTTTGGCCTTTTAATAATGACATGTCTTGGAGTGGGCCTCTTTGCATCCATCTTGTTTGGGTCTCTCTGTGCTTCTCATACTTGCATGCCTATTTCCTTCACCAAATTAGAGATGTTTTCTTTATTATTTTTTCAAATAGATTCCCAATTTCTCGCTCGCTCTTCTCTCCTTCTGGCATCTCTATGATGTGAATGTTGGAGTGTTTAAAGTTGTCCCAGAGGGTGCTAACGCTATCCTTGATTTTTTGGATTCTTTTTTCTTCTTCTTGTTCTGATTGGTTGTTTTTTGCTCCCTGTGTTCCAAATCATTGATTTAATTCTTGGCTTCATCCACTCTACTGTTGTTTCCCTGTAAATTGTTGTTTATTTCAATTAGTGTATCCTTCATTTCTGACTAGGTCTTTCTTATGCTGTTGAGGTCCTCACCAAGTTCCTTGAGCATCCTTATAACCAGTGCTTTGGACTCTGCACCTGATAGATTGCTATCCCCATGTTGTTTAGCTCTTTTTCTGGAGGTTTGATCTGTTCTTTCATTTGGGCCATGTTTCTTTGTCTCCTCGTTTTGGCAGCCTCGCTGTATGTTTCTATGTGTTAGGTAGAGCTGCGTTGACTCCCTGTCTTGGTAGTGTGGCCTAGTAGAGTAGGTGTCCTGTAGGGTCCAGTGGCACAGCCGCCCTATCATCCAAGCTGGGTATTCAAGGTGCACCCTTTGTGTGGGCTGAGTGTGCCCTCCTCTTGTAGTTGATCCTCGGTTGCTGTTGGCAGATCAATGGGAGAGACTTACCCAGGCCAGTCAGCTGCAAGGACTGGCTGTGACCACTGACCATAAACCTCCACCCTCCATGGAGGATCAGCTGTGCAGGGGCAGAGTTATGGTTCTCTGACCTAGTCCCCATTGGGTGCACAGGCTTTGGGATTTCCAGGTGGTGCAGGCCAAGGTCGGGCCCCATCTGTGTTCTGCCCACGACCACTCTACCTGTGCTATAAAACAGTTTGTGCTGGACTCAGAGATTTCCATGCGAAGCCGAACTGTGAATCTAGGCTGGCTGCTGCTAATTCCACTTAGGAAGAAGTAGAGGGGCTGGAGGCTTACTGAGGCCAGCTGTTGATTATTTGAGAGGATTTAGGGAGTTGTGAAGCTTGAGCCAAGACCAGCCATTCATATGGAAAAGTCAGAGTTAACAGTTTGGTGGGCCTGTAAGTTGGGTGGGACAGAGTCTCAAGATATCTCCAGGACTGGGCAAACAGTGGTAGCTGGGTTGATACCGTCTCAGATATGGCACCTGCCTGTTGGCTTCTGTGGCTTTGTCGCGGGGGAGGGTTCAGAAAAGAAGAAATGCCTTGCCTTTCTGTGTGGGAGAAAGCTGGCCCCCTGCTCTCATCTTAATGCCAGACACTTCAGTTCCTCCCTGTATGCCACTGGAGCCTTTCAAGCTGCTACCCCGTGCTGGAACTCAGAGGGAGTGAGTCTGAGTAAGTCCGTATGTAAGTTCTTTAAGATGAACTGCTTGGGATTCCAGCAGTTTCTTCCACAAACTCAAATCCCTGGTGGTTTTTGCAGCCAGAAGTTGTGGGGACTTATCTTTCTGGCACTGGAGCCCTGGCCTGGGGTGCCTGGTGTGGGCTGGGACTCCTTGCTCCTGGGATATCCCTCCCAAATTTTTGTACACTACACATGGATGTGGGACCAGACCATTCCACCTCTTTGCCCCTCCTACCAGTCTGGATAGATGTGGTTTCTTTAATTTCATAATTTTCAGACTTCCATTCAACTCAATTTCTGATGGTTCTGAGTAATGGTTGTTCTATATAGTTGTAATTTTGATGTGATTGTGTGAGGAGGTGGGCTGTGTTTACCTATGCCACCATCTTTAGTATAGATTTTAGATACAGCCAGTGAGAGCAGAGGGAAGAGACAACCTGAGCAGCAGCATGGTGGTGGGAAAGATCTTGGGTGGGTGGGTGGGTGTGTGTGTGAAACAGTGAGGAAGTCAACTTACCCGGGTCATGTTTGTGATGCAAAATAATGGGAAGTAGATTTGAACATCCTTGAAAGCTGAACAGGCCTTGATTGTTAGGGAATAGAAAGCTGTTGAAGATTTTCTTAAAAGAATATGAGTTGATAAATACACATTTTAAGAAGATTTTGGCCCTGGCCAGTATGGCTCAGTGGTTGGGTGTTTTCCACAAACTGAAAGGTCACAGGTTTGATTCCGGTCAGGGCACATAGCTCAGTTATGGGTTCATTCCCAATCAGGGTGCTTACAAAAGGCAGCCAATCAATGTTTCTTTCTCACATCAGTGTTTCTCTCCCTCTCTGCCCTGCATCCCCTCTCTAAAATCAATAAGCATGTCCTCGGTTGGGGATTTAAAAAAAAAGATTATTTTGACAAAACTCTAAAGAATGGGTTGAACAGATTATATTAAAGGCAGACTGCAGAGAGGTTATTAGCATAATCAAGCTATGACTAAGAGTTAGAATTTGAAGTCGAGAGACACCTTCAAAGGAAGAACGAGGAAAATTTGGTAACTGATTCAATACAAGAAGGGCTATTGCATGCCCACTATGTCCTCTATACAGTGTAGCTTGTTGGATCTTACAGTCCCATGAGAGATACTATTAATTCCATTTTACAGATGAGGATCTAGGTTTAGAGAGTAAGTAACTAATCCCAGATCACACAATAAGTAATGGTAATCCTGGGATTAAATAAATCTGTCTGTTCCAGAACCACACTACATCCCATTAATCTATTCTGACACAGAGGAGATGAGCTACAGGGATTCTAACCTGTCCAGGTAGCAAGACTGTGATATTCGTGTATGCTACTGAATGGAATAGAAGTTGAAAGGCAGAGCCAGCCCATTTGGGAAGAATAATGATAAGTGGTTTTTGAATTATTAAGTTTGTGGTTATACTAAGCATTTATTTAGAAATATCCAGTAAATTGTAAATTTGTATAACTGGAGCTTTGGTGAGAGAACAGAGTTGAGGAGATATTTGATAGCTGTTAGCACAGAGATAATGTCCGATACTAAAAGAAAAAAGTGAGGGAGAG